GGGTGGATCTTCTCTAGTTTTGAATTATTTCCCATTCTGATAATGGTTTTAAATTACATTTCTACTAACGGCCAGGATGTAGCTCAGTGGCACTGTGCCTGCCTGGCAAGTGCAAGGTCCTGAGTTCGATCCCCAGTACCTGGGAGAAATAGATAGATATATGTATTCATTCTAGTATAGTTAGACGTTTTGGAGCTGATTATCATTTTGTAATCTAAACATTTAAAAAATTCTCTAATAATAACTAATATTCATTGACTGTTAGGGCTTTTATGTGAATTTTCTCATTTAATCTTTTTTTTTTGTACCAGAGATCAAACTCGGGACCTTGTGCTTGCGAGGCAGGCAGCGGAACCACTGAGCTAAATCCCCAGTCCCTCTCATTTATATCTTTATAAGCCCTGGAAGTGTGTACTAAAATTTTTCCAAATGACAAAACTAAATCTCAGCAACTTTAAGTAACTTATCCAAGGTCAGAAGGGTGGTAAATAGTAGAGCTGGGATATGACTCTAGAACCTACTTCATTGTGCTGACCTCATTGAACAGCACAGAGAATATTTTATGTGTCTGTGAAGCTTGTAAATGAAATGATTGTGGTTCCTATGATCCTTCAATAGGGGAAGGTAGGGAACCAGACCAGGCACTCGGTAACTTCCATTCCTTTTACTTCTCTGATTTTGGTGAGCTATCTACTTATTATGAAACAGGATATGCTGTGCTTTTCCAGAGCAGCAGAAAGATTGCTAGTTTCCTCAGGGATTGAAATAGAGAATGGGAAGATGAGCTGTGGCCCATCAAGTGGGAGAGTATAGTCCAGAGTACATAGGAGGAAAAGGGTGTGTATATTTTTCTGTATGTGTGTGCACCCCCCTCACACACACACCAGATGAAACATGGCTGTGCATAAAACTGGGGAACAGGAAAGGTGGTAATCAGATAGTACTGTTTGTTTTTGTTTTTGTTTTTTTTGGTACCGGGGATCGAACTTGGGTCCTTGTGCTTGCAAGGCAGTAGGTGGAACCACTGAGCTAAATCCCCAGCCCAGATGGGTATCAGATGAAAGTGGTTCTCCAGGGATAGCATTTTCAGGATTTCTGAAGTGAACTATTGAATGTCCTTTCTGTAGGATAAGCTTTGGAAGGAACCTAACCCAGATTAGGAAATGAATGAGCTTTCCTTTTTGTCTTTTATTTCGAAGGATTATTAATTTCTTTCTTTTTTTTTTTTTTTTTGGTACCAGGGATCGAATTCGGGACCTTGCACTTGCAAGGCAGGTGGCAGAACCACTGAGCTAAATCCCTGGCCCAGAATTATTAATTTCATGATGTTTGCAGAGCATGGTGGTGCTCACCTGTAGTCCTAGCACTCAGGAGGCTGAGTCAGGAGGATCTCACTTTGAGGCCAGCTTGGGGTCCATAGTGGTTTCAAGGCCAGCCTGAACTGCATAGCAAGACCCTGTCTCAAAAAAAATTTTTTTTTCATGATTTTTATTTTTCAGATCCTCTGCTGTTGAGGAGTGGCATCATACTATACTAGGGAAATCCTGGAGGACCATGAGGTATTTTCTCTATAGAGATTTTTTTTTTTTCATTAATGCACAGCATGTTGAGGTGTGCTACTTACTTAATAAGTGAAGATGGGAAATCCTATTTGGAAGATAAGAGTCTTAAAATTTTTTTTTCTTAAATCAGTAAAACAGAAAATTACTTTTTCTTTCTTTTCTTTTTTTTTTTTTGCTACCAGGGATCGAACTTGGGTCCTTGCGCTTGCGCAGCCGGCGACAAAAGCACTGAGCTACATCCCTGGCCCCTACTTTTTATTTCTTTAATTTTAGTTAAAATTGTGTAAGGTAGATGGGCCAGGGATGTAGCTCAGTGGCGCCACATCTGCCTGGCAAGCGCAAGGCCCTGAGTTTGATCCCCAGTACCAAAAATTTAAAAAAAAAAAAGAAAAGAATAATAATGTTAGGTAGAGATAATTATGTACTTAGTCTAGAAAATGTTGTAATTATGGTGCTGTGTACTATACAGGTTTTATAATTCATTCTCAGAATTATGTTCTTTTCACATACATGAAATAATCGAAATATACAGTGAATGTTTACAATTTAAAAAAATTATAGTAAAAGACATATTATCATTAACTCCCCTCAAAATGCTCCCTCTTACTTTGAACACATCCCATCATTCTTGACCCTTTGTTGGTGTGTGTGCTCAGAACCCAGGGTCTTTTTAACTGAGCTATATCTCCAGCCCTTTTTTCATTTTTTATTTTGAGATAGGATCTTGCTAAGTCACTAAGTTGCCCAGGCTGTGCTCAAACTTGTGATTCCCCTTCCTCAGTGTCCCAGATTGCTGAAACTACAGGCCTATGCCACCAGGCCTGGCTACTGTCACTTTCTGAATCAGCTCTGGAATTCCTTTTGTAAGTGTCTTTTATGAGGTATGATTAAAAATATAGTGAGTGCTGCAGCCACATGGCATCCAACAGAAAGGCAGGCTCATAAAAACATTAAAGGGCCGGGAATTTAGCTTAGTGGTTCCGGCACCAGCCTCGAAGATGCAAGGTCCCAAGTTCGATCCCTGCTGTCCTTACCCACCTTATTCACCAGATGTAGCACCATGTGACTTCTAGCTGTTCCCCCAAATCAAAATGACCTTGAAAGGTAAATGTTGTGAATTGATTCAGGACATTAAGGCAGCCAGGAAAAAAGACATGAAAGAAAATTTCCAGAACTGCTTCAGAAATTGGCAAGAATGACAGGATAAGTGTGTTTGAATCAAGGGGAAGTATTTTTTTTTTTTTTTTGGTACCAGGGATTGAACTCAGGTCCTTGTGCTTGCGCAGCAGGTGGTGAAACCACTGAGATAAATCCCCAGCCCCTAAGGGGAAGTATTTTGAGAGGAGTTTATGGCAATATGTCTTGTTGTAATAAACTGAAAAAAAAAATTGTAGACATTCACTGTATTTTTTTTTTTTTTTTTTTTTTTGGTACTGGGGATCAAACTCAGGTCCTTGCGCTTGCACAGCAGGCGGTGAAACCACTGAGCTAAATCCCTAGCCTGTATTTTTTTATCATGCCTAATACATATACCTTATGGTATCTTATTTGCATTATTGGCCAGTGAGTGGTCATATATATGCTCAACCAATTTATTCATCTTGTTAGAAGTTTGATTAAAACATCTCCTAGGGTCTATTTATTACCTCTTCTTGGGAACTTGGTAAACCTTTCTGTGTGATTCTTCTGCCCTTAAAAATATAGTAACATATCCATGGAGCTGCTTTTACTACATCAAGACAGGTTTTCTCAAAGTAGCCATTATGTACTGCAAACATGTACCAATAAAAAATAAGTGGCAGGGGCTGGGAATGCCTGCCTCGCAAGCATAAGGACCAAGTTTGATCCCCGGTACCGAAAAAAAAAAGTGGCAAATCTAAAAAAAAACACCAAAAAACAGGTTTTCTCACAATTGAAGTTAGTATGCCACTATATACCGCAAGTATCTGATTAATGTTTCAGACTTTACCAGTAATTCTGGCTTCCGCTTTCTATCTTCCCTCTTTCTTCTATCAAAATTGAAATTAGTTTTGATCAAGGGCTTTCTCACCATTCCTAGTATATCATATTACATTTAGTAGAGAGTGAAAGCTTTTTACCATACTGCCCCTCAGTGAGCCACTAATATATAAGCATCTCACTATTATCTCCATGACTCTTAGTATCTAAGCCACAAAACCAAAACATTAGAAAATTACCATAGTAGGAAGAAACAATAGCAGAAAATCACCACAATAAAGAGAATAAGTTGCCCAGGCTGTGCTTGAATTTGTGATCCTCCTGCTTCATCCTTCCTGGGTACTGGAATTTTAGGTGTGTGTCATCACTCAGCTGACTTTTTTTTTTCTTTTGAAACAGGGTCTCACAGTGTGGTTCAGACTGGTCTTAAACTCACTTTGTATCTTAGGATGGCCTCAAACTTGAGATGATCTTCCTGCCTCAGCCTCCTAGGTGTTGAGATTACAAGGCCTGTGCCACCATGCCCAATGCCCAATGTGTTTCATTGCTAACATTTTTCTGACCTGTGTTCTTGGAGAGCACATGCTATTTCTTGTGAATAAGAAGTAGAATACTGGGCTGGGGATTTAGCTCAGTGGGTCCACGCCTGCCTTGCAAGCACAAGGTCCTGAGTTTGATCCCTGGTACCAAAAAAAAAAAAAACAAGTAGAATACTGAGGTTGGGTGGGGGTAGAAGTTTTGGAGAGAGTGCTTGCCTAGCATATATGTGCAGGGTCCTAGGTTTGATTCCCAACACTGCAAAACAAAGCACAAAACAGAATGTCACTGAATGATTTGTTCACTTTTTCTGTAGTGTATTTTCCTTTTCAAATCCATTTATTTATATAGTTGTACTGTCTTCAGATGTTTGGGCCTATAGATAGGATAACAGACAAGCTGCTTAGCTCAAGCATAATAAAAACAAAGTGGGGTGTATATCAAATATGCTTTTTCTGCCAATACCCCCATCACCATGGCTTCCTGTCAAAAATACAACTTTGAGAACTTTTTGTGGATCCTAGCGGGGTGGGCCTTACCTTGAGGATAAAAACAAAAGATGGGCGGGGGGATTTAGCTCAGTGGTTTCGCCACCTGCTGTGCAGGCGCAAGGACCCAAGTTCAATCTCCGGTACCAAAAAAGAGAAGGAGAGATGGGCTAATACCAAAAAAGAGATGGGTTAATATCTAGCAGAGGGATAGGGTTGCCTGTGCTGGGTAGACTCCCAGGCTGTGTCTTGATTATTCTAACTTAAAAAAAAAAAATTACCATAAAGTTGACTAGAACACTTATTTCTATAGGATCATAGCCCAAGTTGGGGCCATATTTCCTCCTTTTCTTTCTCAACCTTAATGGGGGGGGGATTCCCTCTGGCAAATTCCTAATGACATAACCTTGTTTAACCACCAGTATTTTTTTCCCCTCTTTCTCCCCTCCTACAGAAATGGAGGCAAACGACCATTTTAACTTTACTGGCCTTCCCCCTGCACCTGCTGCCTCAGGACTGAAACCCTCTCCTTCCTCAGGGGAGGGCCTCTACACTAACGGGTCTCCCATGAACTTCCCCCAGCAAGGGAAAAGTGAGTGTGAGGGCCATATGGCCTGGGGTGGGAAATGGACATCATTTCTTTAGAGCAGGTTGATGGGAGGAGATTTGGCTGCACTTGAGGATAGCTATCCCACAACTCTTTCCTGCCAGGTAGGGAAGGAGGAAGTGAATCCACAGAGTTCCAGCTGCTGGAGAGAAATCAGACTTCCAAGAATAAGTTCTAGAGGTTTATAGAAGCAACATTTTTAGTCTTGACTTAAGGTTGGAAGGGATTAGAAAAACATACTGGCTTTTTCATCTTATCCTGCTCTGTTTAACACTGTTCCTTGGCTGCTGCCAAAGAGTGTGGTGAGGTGGCTTCTGCTGCTGGTGACCAGGTTGTATCCATGAAAAAGAGATAAAGGACCAGCCTTGAGAAGCTGTTTTTAGAGGTTGGAGAAACTGATTTGGGCTAGCACTAGGGGTAAAGAAAGGTAGATGAAAGTTGGGATGTGTTTGCCTTTTAGTTTGTACACCAAAAAAAAGAGCAGATGGTAGAAATGCCTATGCCACCTCCTGTCCTTGGATAGAAAGTAGGGACAAGGCAGGATTTAGTGTGTACCTAGTTTGCCCAGAGAGAAATTCATAATTCCAGATGGAAGTGCTGCTGCTCTAATTAGGTCTTTTGCTGGATTTGGCTTCTCAGTTACCCTGTAGTATGACTCTACAAAGTACCTCTTTAATATTGCTTGGGTTTCAAGTCCTTGATGCTTAGAAGCAGGGAGAAGCCACCATACTTCCCTCTTTCCCTGCAGCAGAAAAATACAGGCTTATACTTAACCACTTATCCTCTTATCTTCTACATGGGACTTGAAGAGGGATAAAAGCTATTTTCATTGGGGTCTCTTCCTTGCCCCTGTCCCCAGCTTCTTTGTTTCCTTTTATTTGATTGTCCATCATCCCAGAGGGTGCTATTGGTGTCGAGAATTGAATTCTGCAGCACTGGTCATGCAAAGATTTTTACCCCCTGCATATTACCCTCCACAGCCTATAGGAAGGGGCTAAGCCCATCCTTCTGAGCTGGAATCTTGTCGCTGTGGTGACTGCAGATTCTATTCTTAGACCAGCACAAAGTGCTGGATCTGCATGTGCCAGTGAGGTGGAGGCTGGCCCTTCTGGTGCCACTGTGGGGCCAAATAGGCATTGGGGTGGGGGTACCTAGAAAATTTGTTATGCTCCTCTAAGGGAAGAATTCCTCTAGGGAATGAGAAAGGGGAACAATGCAAGTCACTGTAGGAAGTCTGCAAACAGCTTCATTTAATAAAAAGGCAGCAGCAGCAATCAGCTCTCCGCTGGTGGCTCCCACGGTAGGCTTGGAGAGCTCCCTGGTCCCCTACTCAGGAGCCTCAGCAGCAGTTGCTAAGCTTACATTCAGGAGCATCTGGGTTTTGTGTTCCCCAGAGACCCAAAAGCTAAATATAACAGGGGGGACTCCCTTCCTCTTCACCTTCCCTTTTTCTAGTCAGTCCGATTACATTGGGGTTGTTTTGATAGAATTGCTTGCATATATATTCATAACTGATCCTTTTCTCTCCTTCTCTGCTAGGTTTGAATGGGGATGTGAATGTTAATGGCTTATCTACTGTATCTCACACTACTACTTCAGGGATTTTGAACTCTGCTCCCCACTCCTCCAGCACCTCACACCTCCATCACCCCAACGTGGCCTATGACTGTCTCTGGAACTACTCACAGTACCCATCTGCCAATCCTGGCAGCAACCTCAAGGACCCACCCCTTCTCTCTCAGTTTTCAGGGGGACAGTACCCACTCAACGGCATTCTTGGGGGCAGCCGGCAACCATCCCCGAGTCACAACACTAACCTTCGGGCTGGGAGCCAAGAGTTCTGGGGCAATGGTACCCAGAGTCCCATGGGGCTTAACTTCGACTCACAGGAACTGTATGATTCCTTTCCTGACCAGAATTTTGAGGTGATGCCCAATGGACCCCCAGGTTTTTTCACCTCCCCACAGACTTCTCCTATGTTGGGATCTAGCATCCAGACCTTTGCGCCCTCCCAGGAGGTAGGCAGTGTGATCCATCCTGATGAGGCAGCAGAAAAGGAGCTGACTTCAGTCGTGGCAGAGAATGGCACCGGCTTGGTAGGCAGCCTGGAGCTGGAAGAAGAGCAGCCAGGTATAACTGGGTCTCTGAGCTGGATGGGGAGAGAGGAAAAAGGGCTGTGGGGGACAGTGGCTTTTTGAGGTGAGGAAAACTTGTCTTTCCAGCTCTCTGCAGTGGAGGCTGATTTGCATGTTGGTGATTAGCAGAGCCAAGTGGCTGGTGTTTTTGTGGCTGCAGCACCAGCTCGCGAGTGGGAGTGCAAATTATTTCAAGCCCATGCAGAGCTGCTGGCCTGGAGAGGGCAGGTGGGCGAGCCTGAAACAGCCCCAACAGATACTCTGCATCAAGAAGGGCTTCTTCCACAACATGAAAGGGTTAGGATATTATTAGTGGGCAGTGAGGCCCTTTTGACTAAGGCATGATCACTTGGCTGCCAAAGTGGGCTGAATCCTAGTAGAGATGGGCATGTGAAGGATGGAAGGAAGCATGCAGAATATACTATTGGTTGTGTTCTCAGTTTTATTTCTTTTTTGTTGTTGTTAGCATTAGTACATGTGACAATTACCTCTCATAATTTCCCTCAAAAGGTTAGCTTGCAAAGGGATTCCCAATACAAGGGGGACCACCCTGTAAAATCATAGGATGTTTCCTCTGTTCCCATTCATTGGGGAAGATGTCTTCGAACATGATTGGGTTCTTGTCTCAGATCTCGCATTCCTTTCCCCTCTTTTTCCCTGATGCAGGATTGATTTTACCAGCACTTCTTTGCTTGCTTAGAGTGTGATCAGTTCCCAACATAGAACTGGTACCCTAACAGCAATAAATCTTGAATGAATGAACATTCTTCTAGCACAGATTAACTGCCTGCTGTAGCTAAATGAAGCAGTTGAAGGCACTTATTTTGACTTTTGCTCTCTCCTGGAATTCCCTAGAACTAAAAATGTGTGGCTACAATGGCTCTGTCCCCTCTGTGGAGTCATTACACCAAGAGGTCTCAGTCCTGGTCCCTGACCCCACAGTAAGCTGTTTAGATGACCCTTCACATCTTCCTGATCAACTAGAAGACACTCCAATCCTCAATGAAGACTCTCTTGAGCCCTTCGACTCTCTGGCACCAGGTGGGCTAGAAGGCTGGATCTTTTACTTAGCAAGCAGAGGGTAGCCAGTTTCTGCCACCTGGAAGAGAGAGTAAACCAGGGAACATGTCAGGGAATCTGGGGTGTTGGGGCTTCCAGATAATCCGGTGGCAGACCACAGTTATGTGCCACTGGCCTGACTAGGCCAGCTGCCCTCTGAGCTGAATTGGTTCATTTCCCAGGTTCTTTCCCAGTGTTCCATTTGGCCAAAAGCCCTGGGCTGTAATAATTCACTAAATATGGACTTAACTACCAAACAGTTGGTCTATTTGGGTTCTAACTTAACTAGAAAGAAAACATTTGTCAGTGAACAATAATTTTTTTTTTTTTTGCAACTGGGGCTCGAACTTGGGTCCTTGTACTTGCACAGCAGGTGGCGAAACCACTGAGCTAAATCCCTGGCCCAGTGAACAATAATCTTTTACCATACTGATATTTTATGATAAATGCTGTCATTTTGCAATGGTCTACAGTCAGTTCTTTTCCCTTTGCACCTCAAAACTTTTATGGTCCCTATAGTCTAATGACTTTACTTTTTTTTTTTAAATCTACTGGATACTGAGCCCAGGACCTTCTCACAAAGTTATATCCCCAGTGCCCTAAATGTAGGGGCTCTCCCCTTGCTTTTTTCAATAGATGTATTCTTTTTTTTTTGGATTGCGAATTGAACTGGGGTCCTTGTGCTTGTGAGGCAGGCAATGGAACCACTGAGCTAAATCCCCAGCCCTCCCCTTGCTTTTTTTGTAAATCATTAAGTTGCCCATGCTGGGTTTGAAGTTGTGATCTTTCTGCCTCAGCTTCCCAGAGTGCTGGGATTACAGGTGTGCACCATCATACCTGGCCAACCCTTTGTTTTTCCTTTCATACCAGGGATCGAACTCAGGACCTTGCACTTGCAAGGCAGGTGCAGTGCCACTGAGCTAAATCCCTGGCCCCTGGCCAACCCTTTTTAAAGTGCCATATATTATATATTTTCCTTAATTTAATTTTAGAAAAAAATCTTCACATTGTGGAAACTAGAACTGGATTTTGAGACAGAGTCTCGCTATGTAGTCCTCGCTAGCCTTGAACTTGAGGTTGGTGATCCTCTTGCCTCAGCCTTCCGAGTGCTGGGATTATAGACGTGCTCTATCACTCATGGCCTAAAGTTGAATATTTTTCAGGCCAGTTTTGTTTTGGTTTCATTTAAGGTGAAAGTAGGGATTGAACTGAGCACCTTTATGGGCTGTGGGGATGGCTTGATGGTAGAATGCTTGCCCAGCATACACAAGGCCCTGGTTTTGAGGCCCCTTCATCACCAAAAAAAAAAAGGGGTGGGGGAGAACTAAGGACCTTTGCACTGCACTGTCTGTCTGTCTTTTTTATTTATCTAATAAAGTAAGTCTAGAGATAAGTAAGTCTTGCTAAGTTACTAAATTGCCTAGGCTGATCTGAACCTCCTGCCTCAGCCTCCAAGAGTGCTGACATTACAGGAATGTGTCACCATGCCCAGCAACAAGCAAGTAATTCTTGAGGAAATCTTGTTTTCTGATTTTCTTTAATATCCTGCTCTGATTTTTTTCTTTCACCCCATAAACAGAGCCAGTGAGTGGAGGACTTTATGGTATAGATGACACGGAACTGATGGGTGCAGAAGATAAGCTGCCTCTTGAGGATAGTCCTGTGATCTCTGCCCTTGATTGCCCTTCCCTCAATAATGCTACTCCTTTCAGTCTCCTGGCTGATGACAGTCAAACATCAGCCTCTATCTTTTCCAGCCCTGCCTCTCCACCTGTCTTAGGGGAGTCTGTTCTGCAAGGTAAGTGAGGAAAGGTAGGACAAGAAAAGTTCTTGACCTGCAAAAAGAATGGGAAAATAGGTTCTATATAGGTGGGGCATTAAAAGTTGGAAACGTGTAAGAGCACCTTGCTGAAGGATGAGGAGCTTATGGGATAGTGTATGGTGGGACTAAGAAAGGCATGGGCCACTATACTCTGACCTGTGTCCCCAGGTCAGAAGAACTTGGGAGTCTTGGGGTTTGCAGGGAGAAGGAGGCCATATATCTGCCTGGGTTCAGATAAAAGATACTTATTTATATAATTACAGTAGAAATTTTGCACTTAAACGTTTGTGAATGTTTAGGCAGGAAAGCCAGAGGTGCTTTTTCAAACCCTAGGAAAAAGCCCTTGAATAACCATGTTTAGCTTAATCTAGGTTTGATTGAATAGATTGTTTTATGTGGTGCCATTTTTCTTTCACTCATCCTATCCCTTTGGATCCTAGATAATAGCTTTGACCTGAATAATGGCAGTGATGTTGAACAGGAAGAAATGGAGACTCAGGGTTCAGACTTCCCACCACTCCTGGCCCAGCCACACCCTGACCAGTCATCCACTATTCAGATTCAACTACATCCAGTAGCCTCACCAGCAGTCTCACCAACAGCCTCCCCAGAAATCTCTGCTCCAGAAGTCTCCCTATCAGTTTCTCCAGCAGCCTCTCCACGTCTCTGCCCAGCAGCCTGCCCAGTTCTCTCTCCAGTTTCCTCAGCAGTCTCTTCGGAAGTTGCCTTGACAGCTCCAGTGGGCTCCCCAAAAGCCTCCTCTGTAACTTCCCCAGCTTCTGCCTTCCTAGCAAATAAAGACGTCAGCAGCTTCCATGAAGCCACTGGTGACCTGGAAGAGATCACTGGAGACGTCACTACTTCTGGTAATGGTAAGTGTACAGATTCTGTTCTACCCCTGGGCTGGTTCCCAGAAAAGTGTGTTTCAGCCAGGTGTAATCCTGATGCTGTAATACCAGTGCTCTGGGAGGCTGAGACAGGAAGATCATAGGTTCAAACCCAGTCAGGGCAACTTCTGACTTAGACCTTGTCTCAGATTTCAAAAAGGCTGGGGATATAGCTCAGCGCAAAGGCCTTGAGTTCCACCCCCCAGTACAACAGAGAGTTGGTGGGAAAAGAGGGAAGGAGAGAGGGAGTTGTTCCATGTTGCATGTGTGTCAACCCTCCCCACTAGCCTGTTATTTCAGTATTGTGCTTGAGCTCCTAACTTGAATATCCCATCTTCCTTCTAAGCTGATGTCCTGAGGAGACGTATTGCTACTCCAGAAGAAGTTCGTCTTCCCCTCCAACATGGGTAAATGCTCTAGGTTGCTACATGCATTGACCTTGAAACGTTTAATGCATGAATGTAGGAACAGGGGAGCTCCTCTCTTCTGAGTTTGGGGGAGAAATGGGCAAAATAGGAGTAGACAGGACAGTTATCTGTAATTATAGTGTTCCTTGCCGTGAGATTCCTAGATTTTCCTTCTCTCAGGGTCTGTCTTCACTCACTAACCCTTTCTTCATCTTGTGGCGACTCAGCCTTGGTCAAGGGGCTCCAGCTGTTATCTTTGCCAAACCCATAGGTACAGATATCCAAACTAACTGCCTTGCCTATTTTTTTTTTTTTTTTCTTGGTACCGGGGATCAAACTCTCGGGTCCTTGCGCCTGCTGCCTATTTTCATAGAGAAGGGGTTGTAATGAAAGAGGAGTGGCTTATGAACAATGAATTGGGGTAGTTTTGTTATGGTGGTGGTTTTTGTTTTAATGCTCTTTGGAGAGGTAAACACTGGTAACAATAATATAATGAGCAAGCCAGCTGACACCAAGGGCTTTGTGGAAGTAACTGTTTTGCTTTACCTCCCCCACTCCAACGCCTCTAGGCTACTTACAGTCACCAAGTCTGAGAATTCTTACAATATGAAAGAAAGGTAAAGCTTAGACTTAACAATAATCTGTTGTTCAGAACATGGAGTTCCTAACTAAACCCTGGCCTACTGAGTCATTTCATGGAGTCTGCAGGGAGTTCACTCTTTAGTTTGCCTCCCCACCCTCCTTTTTTTGCCCTTACTCCCCTAGGTCTTTATCTTCTTTACTGGCAATTCAGTAAAATTGACCTGAATGACATTAGGGAGGGGTTTCTGGCTGTTCATCTCACAGACTTTGTATGTGGAGGTCTTTAGGTTTGTGTGATTTAATGTATTGCTTTCCTCCTGAGGGCCCTGAGATATTTGTGGGCGGTCAAGTTGGCCTTTTTGTCAAGTTTGTGTCTTAATGCTGCTTTCACGTCTGCATCTAATACTAGTGAGACAGATTCGGGAGGGTCCTCTGCTCAGTGGGCTTGGCTCCTGGGGGGCTTGGGAGTGGGTAGGGGTGTGACCTGGTGGCAGGGCCCATGTGCTTCTCTGGCAGGTGGCGGAGAGAAGTGCGCATCAAGAAGGGCAGCCACCGATGGCAGGGGGAGACCTGGTATTATGGCCCCTGTGGGAAGAGGATGAAACAGTTTCCAGAAGTGATCAAGGTAATAAAGCTCTTATAGATTTTTTCCCCCTGTAGATACTGGGAATCGAACTCAGTACCTTGTGCTTGTCAGGCAGCCATAGCGCCACTGAGCTAACCCCACACACACCCTTTATAGGTATTTTTATTTTTATTTATTTATTTATTGTTTTGGTACTGGGTATCGAACTTGGGTCCTTGCGCTTGCGCAGCAGGCAGCGAAACCACTGAGCTAAATCCCCGGCCCCTTTATGGGTATTTTTTTTTTTTTTTTGGTACCAGGGATCGAACCCAGGTCCTCAGCTTGTGAGGCAGGCAGTGGAACCACTGAGCTAAATCCCTGGCCCTTTTATGGGTATTTTTAAAGGCAGTACACACCCCTTTTGGGGCCCTGTCATGCAGGTTGGCATTGTCTACTTTGGGCCCTGTTGTGCTTTTACCATTCCCAGCCAAAGACATCATAAGACTCATTAATGTTGATTTAACTTCCTTCTTTTAGTACCTGAGCCGCAACGTGGTACACAGTGTGCGCCGTGAGCACTTCAGCTTCAGTCCTCGTATGCCTGTTGGAGATTTCTTTGAAGAGAGAGACACACCAGAGGTGCTGGCCTAAGGGTTATATGATTTGGTCCCTGAAAAAGAGTTGATGGGCAAGCTGCAGCCTCTTCTTGTGGTTTGGGAATTCTGGGGGCCTTAAATGGTTTAGAGGGACTAGTGGCCTGCACCATTGTTTTGTTTTGTTTTGTTTTGTTTTTTTGGTACCAGGGGATAGAAGGCCTGCACCATTGTAACAGTCTTCTCACTGCCTTAGGGCTTGCAGTGGGTTCAGCTCTCAGCAGAGGAGATTCCATCCAGGATTCAAGCAATTACTGGCAAACGGGGTCGACCTCGAAACAATGAGAAGGCTAAGACCAAGGAAGTCCCCAAGGTGAAACGGGGCCGAGGTCGGCCACCCAAAGTCAAAATCCCTGAGCTGTTGAATAAGACAGACAACCGTCTCCCAAAGAAGCTGGAGGCCCAAGGTAGAATAGCAGTTTTTACTTTGCGATTCTGCTCTTTACACAGGCTATCTGAAATATTGCTGAATTGCTAATACCTGGGTTTCCCAGGAGTGTAACTGATACCTAGGAAGAATTTCAGTTATCTTCTCCTCCTTGTATGGTAATGTCAGAGCCCCAGCACTTTAGGTATTTGTTTTGCAGTCAGTTTCTTCCTTGAGTTGGTCTTATTAGTGAAACCTTGAGTCTCCAGATAGAACTATATTTCCACACCCTTTTTTTTACCTGTTTTCAGCTCCTTATTTATAGGGATGTCATTTGTTCACTCTTGCTTATGACCAGTGTCATGAAGATTCAAAATTCACATCTCAATTCAAACGATAATTAGCACTACTTTAGTTGGCTAGATGGAGGGAAATGTCTAAGTTTTTTCAATAAGTTCTGCATTTACCCTGGTATAATGTCAAAATGTGAACAGATTTTGTCTTCTGCTTTCCCATTCAGTGTTCTAGCTCTACTGTCTTCTGACTGTATGACCTAGAACAAATCTCTTATTTTATTTTATTTTTTTGAGACAGACTCTTGCTATGTAGTTCAGGTTGGCCTTGAACTCACTATGTAGCCCACACTGGCTTCAAACTCCCCATTGTACCTGCTACCTCATCTTTTTGCTCATCTTTGCTTTATTTTCCTCATTTAGCATTTCCTTCTGCCTCAGCCTCCTGAGTGCTAGGATTACAGGCATGTGCTACCATGCCCAGCTGAGTTTGATTTTTTTTTTTCTTTTTTGGTACCAAGGATTGAACTCAGGATCTTGTGCTTGCAAGGCAAGCACAGCATCACTGAGCTAAATCCCTAGCTGAATTTCATGTTTTGAGAGAAGTCTTAAGTAGTTCATCTGCCCTTATGTGTCTGACTGAGGATTGTTGTATAGATAATGGTGATGTTTCTATAACAGAAACAAAAGAATAAGTACTATCAGGTCAAAAATATCACAAAATACACAGAATTATGCTTCAATATTTAGTATTCCAGAATAAAGAAATTCAGTTTATTTATTTATTTAACAAGACATGAGAGGGGTGGGGATTTAGCTCATTGGTACCATGCCTGCAAACACAGGGTCCTGAGTTCAACCCCTGGTACCAAAAAAGGCATAAGAGCTGAGCATAAGCAACAGCTATGTTGGTGTTGATCTGACTATGAAGTGTCTGTCACTTGCTCTTTCAGGCACAGTCTTGGTTAATCAGTGCTACCAACTAACACCGTCTTTCCCTGGCAGTTTGGCTTTCTGGTTCCCTTCTCAGTCCTCTCTGCACTCAAATCAGTCCATGCATTGCTGCACTTTCAGGTAGCCTGGGAAAGAGATGGCTGCAAGGCTACTCTGTTGCTGTGGCCTCTTTTCTACCAGCCAGACTGCCTCTAAAGCAGTCCACTTGGAGCCAGGGGCTGCTCCTTCTGGGCAGGAGATACCATTTGAGTTCTTTGTGCCCCTCTCTTGTACCACCCCCACCCCCCAGTATTTTATTATGTATACTTAAAACAAAACAGGTGTGGTGGTACTCTCCTGTAATCCCTTAACTCTGGGAACCTGAGGCAGGAAGGTAGAAAGTTCGAGCCAGCTTGGGAAACTTGGCAATTTAGTGAGACCCTGTCTCAGAATAAAAAAGGACTGGTACTGGGTGTGGTGGCCCAGACCTGTAATTCCAGCACTCAGCAGGCTGAGACAGAAGGATCACTGAGAATTTGAGGCCCGCCTGGGCTGCATTGTGACTTCAAGACCAGACTAAACTATAGAGCGAGACCCTGTCTCAAAACAAAAGAATGGACTGGTAGATGTAGCTCACTGTGAAGACCCTAGGTTCAGCCCCTAGTACCAGAACTCAGAAATTTAAAAAAAAAAAAAAAAAAGCCAAGTGTGGCAGTGCAGACAGAGTACTGCACTCAGGAGGCTGAGGCAGGAGGATCTCTGCAAGTTTGGGCCCAGCCTGGGTTACATAGTGAGTTCAAGACTGGCTTGAACTACATATTGAGACTCTTGTCTCAAAAAGAAAAAAACAAAAAAAACTTTTCTACGTTCTTTAAGGAGCTGCTTAGGAGACCAGCTTTGTAACAGCATGTGCTGCCCTGGGTCCCAAAGATCCATCTTCCTGCCTCACTTATCTCATTTTTCTTTACAGAAACACTGAATGAGGAAGATAAAGCGAAAATGAGTAAAAGCAAAAAGAAGATGAGGCAGAAGATACAACGGGGAGAGTGTCAGACTCCTATCCAAGGGCAGGTGAGGGATATCGGTGGGCTAATTTGTCCTACAATGTGCTTCATCTTTTTTTCCATCTCATATCTGTCACCCCCTGCATAGCATCACACTTATTGCTCTGAACTCTCTTGGGCTTAATTTAGAGAATTAGGCTTATTCAGGAATAATGCGGGCAACTCTAGAGAGAATTAATTCATTTCCATCCCCTCATCATTCTACCTCCCACCTCTCCTTCTCAGCACCCTTGTTTGTTTTTGGTTTTTTTTTTGGGTACCAGGGATCAAACTTGTGACCTTGCACTTGCGAGGCAGGCACCGGAACCACTGAGCTAAATCCCTGGCCCGCTTGTTTGTTTTTTAATCCTACCCCAAGCAGAGATGCTTTAAGAGTTTGAGGAGAAAATGACTTCCCTTATGGTTTACAGGCCAAAACCAAGAGGAAACCAGAGACCAAGAGCTTAAAACAGAAGGATCCCAAGAAGAAATTGAAGGTAGGTGCACGCACACACTTGCTGAGGGTAATTCTGAAGCCCCTGAACTTACTTTGCTAGATGAGTGTGCCAGTCTTCCACTTTCATTTCTGGGCTCTGAGGTTGGGAGGGACCGAGGCCAAGGAAGGGTGATTGATGACTGATATGTTTATGTCAGTCATCTTTATATCTTCTCTCCCTTGATGGGTAGGCTGAGAAAGAAAAGATAAAGACAAAGCAAGAAAAACTGAAGGAAAAAATGAAAAAGGAAAAGAAAGAGAAAGTGAAAATGAAGGAAAAGGATGAGATGGCCAAAGCCAAGCCAACTTGTAAAGCAGATAAGACCCTGGCTACCCAGAGACGCCTAGAGGAACGGCAGAGGCAGCAGATGATCTTGGAGGAGATGAAGAAGCCCACAGAGGACATGTGTCTAGCTGACCACCAGGTAGTAAAGGGAAATAACAGTTCCAGGGTCATGGAGGGCCCATTTGTAAGGACTTCTTTATTATAGGGAATACCTCATGGAAAGCCTTACTGTTGCCTTTTTAAATTTTGGTACCAGGGATCTAACTCAGGACCTTGTGCTTGCGATGCAGGCGGCAGAACCACTGAGCTAAATCCCCAGCCCAAGTCTTAACAGACGCTCTACCATTTTGATCCCTCCAGCCCCTGCCTGAGTTCACACGCATCCCTGGTTTGACATTGCCCAGTAGGGCATTCTCTGACTGCTTGACCATCGTGGAGTTCCTGCACAGCTTCGGCAAGGTGCTGGGCTTTGATCCTACCAAAGATGTGCCTAGCCTGGGGGTCCTGCAGGAGGGACTCCTGTGTCAAGGTGACAGCTTGGGCAAGGTGCAAGACCTGTTGGTACAGCTCCTAAAGGCTGCGCTCTATGATCCTGGGTTGCCCTCCTACTGTCAGGTGAGCTTTCCTGGGCAGGCCGAGAGGGCCTGGGATGTAGTGCTTTGTTTCAGTTTTGCTTTCTCTCTAAGAACACCTAGAGATGTGATGAGAAGTGAGGGAGATGGTCTGTTTTGTTTTTTTAGACAGGGCCTTGCTATGTTGTTCATCAGGCTGGCTTTGAATTCATATGTAGCCCAGGCTGGCCTCAAACTTGCCACAATCCTGCCTCAGCCTCCCAAGTACTGGGATTACAGGCATGTGCCACCACACCTGGTGTTAATCCTTTTCTTTTGCACTTTTCCTTCATAGTCGTCTTCTATTTTGTTTTAGAAACTTCTTCTTTTCCTATTTTTCTATCTTAACCCAGTAGGATAGGTTCGCCCAATTTGAGTTGTTCCCCTTTGTGTCCTCACTCCCAGTATGCTCTCTCCTTTAAACAGTCTCTCAAGATTTTGGGGGAGAAGGTGTGTGAGATCCCACTGACAAGAGACAATGTGTCTGAGATCCTGCGCTGCTTCCTCATGGCATACGGAGTAGAGCCCACCCTCTGTGACAGCCTCCGTACTCAGCCCTTTCAGGCCCAGCCACCCCAGCAGAAAGCTGCTGTCCTGGCCTTCCTTGTGCATGAGCTCAATGGCTCCACCCTCATCATCAAGTGAGGGGCTGGGGAGGGGATTGTTGTTTTATGCCTTGTGTCTGTGTGGGATGGGGGAGGGGTTTTGCCAGTCAGAAGTCCCAGGGTGATATGTGCCCCCTGCCAAGCTCTGGAGATGGAACTGAGTTTTAGTGCCCTCTTGGGAGAACTTAAAACCTTCCTCTGCTGTTCATTCAGTCTAGGTTCTAGGCTGAAACTCCCTACCACCCCTATACCTTTAAGGCTCCCTTCCCTTTTTATTGTGCTGCCACTTCTACCTCAAAATCCCATTCCTTATACCCCTGCAGTGAGATTGACAAGACTCTGGAGAGTATGTCCAGCTACAGGAAAAACAAGTGGATTGTTGAAGGCCGGCTCCGGAGGTAGGGACAGAACAGAGGGCAGAGCCCAGAGAGAGGAGAGGAAGGGGAAAGGGTGAAGCATACCCAGCACTTTTGCCCGGAACTTTTACCCTTAGCCCCTTCCCCTTAACAATGGTTGAGATTCCAGATGTTCCTTCTGTGGCAGTAAAGAAAACCTCACCACAGTTTTCTTTAATGTGCCCATCTATTCAAGACTGAAAACTACTCTGGCAAAGCGAACTGGGCGGCCCGAAGTAGAGATGGAAGGGCCAGAGGAAGGCCTGGGACGGAGGCGTAGTTCTCGGATCATGGAAGAAACGAGTGGCATGGAAGAAGAGGAGGAGGAGGAGGAGGAGGAGACTGTAGCAGCTCTCCATGGCCGAAGGGGTCGAAGAGACGGAGAGGTACTGGCCCAAGAGCAAGAAAAATGGGAATGGCCAGGGATTTAGCTCAGTGGTTCCGGCGCCTGCCTTGCAAGCGCAAGGTCCCGAGTTCGATCCTCGGTACCAAAAAAGAAAAGTGGGAGTCAGAAAACAGATATTTTGCCAGATACACACCTGTAATCCCAGCACTTGAGAGGTTGAGGAAAGAGGATTGCTGTGAGTTTGAGGCCAACCTGAACTACACAGTGAGACCCTGGGTCAAAAAAATAATTTGGGCCAGGGATTTAGCTCAGTGGTTCCACTGCCTGCCTCACAACCACAAGGTCCCGCGTTTGATTCCCGGTACCAAAATGAACGAATGAATGAATGAATAAATAAATAAATATAAATACAAATCAATTAATAAATAATTTGTTGGCTGGGCATGGTAGCTCATGCCTTTACTCCTAGCATTCTGGGAGCCCGAGACAGGAAGAGCACAAGTCCTAGCCCAGCCTGGGCAACTTACTAAAATGCTATTTTGTAATTATAAAAAGGTCTGGAGATAGAGCTCAGTAAGAAGGCTTCAGTCGATTCCTGGTACCAAAAAAAAAAAAAAGGCCTTGGCTTCAATCCTTAGAGCTTAGAGCCACAAAAAAGAAAAAGAAAATGAATATAGATATTTCTCTTTTTTTAATCTGATAACTTCCTTTTCCTCGGTGTCCTTGTTTTTCTCTAGGTTGATGCTGTAGCGTCTAGCATCCCGGAGTTAGAGCGCCAGATAGAAAAACTCAGCAAGGTACTGTGCTGACCTCCCAGGAGTTGGAGGTTTGGGCTGGGCAAGAGATGATCACCTTCTGAGCTGGGTATCAATTCTGTAGGGAAGCCTGAGAGCTTATGCTTTCTCTCATACTAGATGAATTCACCACTGTCACTCTAGAAGTGTGTTTCTTAATTTAATTATCTTCCTTTTCCACTGCCTTTCCAGCGTCAGCTCTTCTTTCGCAAAAAGCTGCTTCACTCATCCCAGATGCTTCGGGCAGTCTCCTTGGGGCAAGACCGATACAGACGCCGTTACTGGGTGTTGCCATATTTGGCTGGTATCTTTGTGGAAGGAGCAGAGGGGAGCCTAGGTAGGTGTGTGTGAAAGCCTCGATCCTCTTTTGAGTCCTAGCTAACAAAAGTTAAATAGTTGCTTTTCCTCTGCCTAGTGGTCTTGGGCTTCTTTTGTTTTATGAGACTCATCAGTATAGCATAGTGGTTAAGAACATAGGCCCTAGAGTAAGACTCCCTACCTGCCTGCTATGCCACTTACCAGCCATTTGCTTGTTTGTTCATTTGTAAACTGGAATAGTAATAGAATATGTATTTCATGAGGCTTTTAAGGGGATCAAGAAGAATTAATACTCCTAGTTAGAACAGTGCTTAACAGAACAGGCCTGGGGGTAGAGCTCAGTGGTAGAACATAGCATGAAAGCCCTGGGTTTGAGCCCCAGCGCCATAAAAAAAAAGTGTTTAAAATATAGTTGGTTCTCAGATTTTTAGCTTATGATTATGCTGCTGCTGCTGATCACTTAGAACAGTATTTGTTCTCCAGATACTTTGTCCATTGGCATATAAGCTATTACCATTGGTGGAATCTCATAAAAAGAGGACTAAGTCCAGAAGAAAGTATATGCCGTGTGTTTATATGCTCTTTCCTATTATATATCAGTGTATGTCCTCTTTATAGTTCCTGAAGATATGATAAAGCAGGAAACTGATTCCTTAAAGACCCATTCAGGACTCACTCCTGCCCTCTTCTCTGTGAAGAAAGAGTTAAGTGGCTCCAGCACCTCTGCCAGTTCTCCTGCCCGGACACGAGGCCGACCTCGAAAAACCAAGCCTGGCTCTATGCAACCTAGGAACCTGAAGTCCTCTCTCAAGGGCCAGGATTCAGAACAACCCCAGGACCAGCTTCAACCCAAGGCGCAGCCTGAACCTCAGCCTCAGGCTTCTACCCAGCCTCATCCCCAGTTCGAGCCGCATCCTGAGTCCCAGCTCCAGCCCCAGCCCCAGCTCCATCATGGGTTCTTAGAGCCAGAAGGCTCCCCTTTGTCTCTGGGTCAGAGCCAGCATGACCTCAGCCAGTCAGCTTTCCTGTCTTGGCTGAGCCAGACTCAGAGCCATGGCTCCCTGCTGAGCAGCTCAGTCCTCACACCTGACAGCAGCCCAGGAAAGCTAGACCCAGCCCCGTCACAGCCTCTGGAGGAGCCTGAGGAAGCAGAGTCTGGCCCTGATCCTCCAGCATCCTGGTTTAACTTCTCAGCTGAGGTGCCCTGCAATGCTGCCCCTACACCACCCCCTGCAGTTTCTGAGGACCAACCCACTCCTTCCCCTCAGCTGCCTGCCTCCTCCAAGCCAGTAAGTAGCCAGAAAGAATATATTCTTGACTTCATCTTTTCATGGGCTCCATGGCTGTGGGACTGTTAAAGTGAGGAAACCGGTACACCTGAAAATATCCTCATCTTATGTCTCATTTTATTCACAGATGAATAGACCTAGTGCTGCCAACCCCTGTTCTCCAGCACAGTTCTCTTCCACCCTCTTGACTGGGGTAACTCCTAAGAGGCGAGCAGCAGACTCTCGAGAAAAGCCACAGAGTCCCACGGGGCTGGGACAGCCAAAACGTAGAGGGAGACCTCCCAGCAAGTTCTTCAAACAGATGGAGCAGCGTTACCTAACCCAGCTGACAGCCCAGCCAGTCCCCCCTGGTGAGTGATCCTGGGTGAAATGCAGTAAGAGTGTAGGGTGGGCGTTGTGTTTCCAAGCAGGTTCCCAGCCCTCATCCCACAAATGAATCCCTTGTTTTAGAGATGCGCTCAGGCTGGTGGTGGATCCGAGATCCTGAGATGCTGGATGCCATGCTCAAGGCCCTACACCCCCGAGGCATCCGTGAGAAGGCACTTCACAAACACCTTAACAAGCACAGGAACTTCTTGCAGGAAGTCTGCTCACGGCCCTCAGCTGGTAAATAGATACCTTCACCCAGCCTGAAGTGAAGAGCCCAGGGCAAACATGAGCTGCTTTTCAACACCCTGATGGCCTCTTCTGTGTTCTCACTTCTCAGATCCCATCTTTGAGCCTAGTCAGCTCCCTCCCTTTGAAGAAGGGATTATGAGCTGGTCACCCAAAGAAAAGACATACGAAACAGACCTAGCTGTGCTTCAATGGGTAGAGGATCTGGAACAGCGGGTTATCCTATCTGATCTGCAGATTCGGGTATACTGGGATTGGCACTGGGTGGGAAGTTGTTTAGGAGAGGCCATTAATCCCTTAAACTCTATTTGGAGCCAGGCATAGTGGCTCACACCTGTAATCCCAGTACTCGGGAGTCTGAGGCAGGATGATCGCCAAGACTTTGAGGTCAGCCTGGGCTACATAGTGAGTTCAAGGCCAGCCTGAACTACACAGCAAGACCCTATCAAATAAAAACTATTTGGAAAACTCCTCTGTTCATATTCACCTGCTATGACCTTAAAATGGGTCTTTTTCTCCTTTATGATGAGTTTTGTTCTGTTTTCCCATCTGAAGGGCTGGACATGTCCTAGCCCAGACTCTATTCGTGAAGACCTGGCCTACTGTGAGCATCTGCCTGATTCCCAGGAGGATATCACCTGGAGAGGTCGAAGCAGAGAAGGACTGGCACCTCAGCGTAAAAGTACTAACCCTCTAGATCTGGCTGTAATGCGACTGGCTGCTTTAGAACAGAATGTTGAGCGGCGGTACCTGAGGGAGCCTCTTTGGTCAGCTCATGAGGTGGTGCTAGAAAAGGCCTTGCTCAGCACACCCAATGGGGCCCCTGAGGGCACCACGAAAGAGATGTGAGTGATTCCCACTCCTTCATTCTTGCTATTAGAGTGAGCAAAGCTAAGGTCCCCTCTCTTTAGCGGATTCTTGGCCTTATCCAGACATCTCCATTTTCTCCCTACAGATCATATGAGATCACCCCTCGTGTTCGCGTCTGGCGCCAGACACTTGAGCGATGCCGGAGTGCAGCCCAGGTGTGCTTGTGTATGGGCCAGCTGGAGAGGTCCATCGCCTGGGAAAAATCTGTCAACAAAGTGGTAAGAGGCTCAGAGAGCCTGGAAGGGCCAAGGAGCTGACCCGCTGGTGTGTGTGTGTTGGGGGTTGATGAACAGGTGGAGGCTTAAGGGCTCACTGTGTTTCCTCATAACCTTGGTCCAGACCTGTCTAGTCTGCCGGAAGGGAGACAACGATGAGTTTCTTCTGCTTTGTGATGGGTGTGACCGTGGCTGCCACATTTATTGCCATAGGCCCAAGATGGAGGCTGTTCCAGAAGGGGACTGGTTCTGTGCTGTCTGTTTGGCCCAGGTAAATCTCTCATTCCATCCATTCCATCCCATTTATCACCAGTCTTACAAATGTCTCTTACTGTATCCCTAGTGTCACCTTGGAATGAGCTGACATGCTGTTAGGAGACCTGAATTCTGGTCCTTACTTGGAAAAACCACTTACATTTTGTAGCCTCAGTTCCTTTCGTTTTACCCCCACTTACTGGGTTATGTGAATAAATTCACATGCCGGCTTATGTGGGAAGGTATTTTGAAGCCTCAGACACACTTAGGTAGGGGTTCTGACACACTAGAAGGCAGGCAGAGTGTATCTCCAGCCATTGCTGATCTCACCTTTTCCTATCCTCAGCAGGTAGAGGAAGAATTCACTCAGAAGCCTGGTTTCCCAAAGCGAGGACAGAAGCGGAAAAGTGCTTACTCACTGAACTTCCCAGAGGCTGATGGCCGCCGGCGCCGGGTCCTGTCAAGGGGCCGAGAAAGCCCGTCATCGGTACCTCGGTACTCAGAGGAAGGGCTCCCTCCCTCCAAGCGACGGCGACTCCCCATGCGGAACCACAGTGATCTCACATTCTGCGAGTGAGTTGAGTGAATCCAACTACCAGGAAAGAGGCCTGGGAGGGGTCAGTGTGTGCGCATGTGCTTCTGAAATGAAACCATCACGGTCCCTGTACTGATAGGATTATCCTGATGGAGATGGAGTCCCATGATGCAGCCTGGCCTTTCCTGGAGCCTGTAAACCCACGACTGGTGAGCGGTTACCGGCGCATCATCAAGAACCCAATGGATTTTTCCACCATGCGGGAGCGGCTGCTCCGAGGAGGGTGAGTTAGGTCAATGTTGGTGACTCCCTAGCTCCTCTTCTGTTACTCTACAACTCTTCCCCAGCTTACAGCCCCGCCTCTGCTCCTCCCAGGTACACCAGCTCAGAGGAGTTTGCAGCTGATGCTCTCTTGGTATTTGACAACTGCCAGACCTTCAACGAAGATGACTCTGAAGTGGGCAAAGCAGGGCACATCATGCGCCAATTCTTTGAGAGCCGCTGGGAGGAGTTTTATCAGGGAAAGCAGGCCAATCTCTGAGGCAAGGGAGGTGGGGGGTCACCTGGTGACCTCTCCCCCCACCTTCCAAACAAAAAACCTGCCATTCACACCTGCTGATGCTGCCTTGGCAGCGCCCACATCCTTCATCCCTAGTCCCCTTTCTCCCTTCCTCCTCTTGCTCCTCAAATAAGAGGTGTGGAGATGAGGTCCTTCTGGACTGAAAAGCCAAAAAAGAAAAAATAATTTTTCCTTTCTGTTTTATTTCCTAATTAAAAATGAGGGGGAAAGAAGTCCCTACTTCCTCCTCCCAGCTTCTCCCTCACTGTCTATGCCCCAGCATTCTGGGGTTATTTAACAATAGCAATAGTTCTAGTGAATGTGTGAAACCGAGAAACACTCTGTACTGTGTGCGGACCCGCAGTGACGGCCAGTAAAGTGGACTTAACCCCCAGGCGTGTCACCGACACGGGCCCTGGACATGCTGCTTCCACGTGCAGACCCTCCCTGTCTTGCTTCTTCTCAGCTTTCCTTCTCTTCCCTTCCCCTCCATCCCCCATTTTTTCAGATTTTTCTCATCCAATAATATAAAACTATTGTGTACGGGTTCTTCCTTCTTTCTCCCCCCAAATCTTTTTCCCCCTCAAAGGAAAAAAATTTAGAAGTCCCTGTCTTTCTCTTTGTCCTCATCTTCCTGCTGATAGCTATCCCATCTAAAATGTCGGATGCTCCTCACTTGCTGAGTTTCCAGCCTTTTCTGAAACTCAGTGGCTGGGGAGAGGGTAGGCTGGCACCTTGGGCCTTCCAACCTCCTTCCCCACCTGCTTCCCAAACTTCCCTCTTGGGAACTCCTCAGGGACAACTACTGCTGAGTTTGGGCGCACCTCTGAGATGGAGGTCAGGTAGCAATTGACTGGCCTCAGAGTGGAAGAGAGGTAGATGTGTTGTGCGTGCATATGTGAGTGTGTGTGTGTGTGTGCGCGCGTGTGCGTGTGAGAGCCATGATTCTGACCCTGTTTGATGGGATCCATTCATTTTCCCCAAGTATCTTTTTATTCCCATTTTTTCATACCATCACTTTTATGTCTTTGGGAAACCACAGGAACAATTTCTCTGGATCATGTCTGTTCCAGCCTCTTCGAACTGTGCAATCTTTCAGCAGGCGTACTCTTCCCCCCTCAGGAGCTTTGAGTCTGAAGTTTTTGCAGGGAGAGGGGTAGAACTGGATCTTTCTTAATCCCATGAATATCTGTGGGTTTAGTTGTGCTTTCCTTCCTTTTATCTACTCATCCTCCAGGACCCCTTCCCCAGCAGCAGAGACCCCTGCGCACAGGAGGGGGAAGGAGGGGTTCTGGGTTCACTGCCCTACATGTGACTGTGCCCAAGTTGTGCCCCTCATCTGTGAGAGGAAAACTGCTCACTCCGACCATAGCCATGGCCCTGACCCTGCTCCTGCTCGGCAGAGCCCCTCCCACCAGAGATTACGGGTACTTGCACTGGGGAGGTGGCTGCTGGCTGCCTGAGCAGAGCTGAGGCATCAAAATGTCCACTGGTGTGGCACCGGCACTGTGCTGGGGAGGTGGAGCGTTCATTCCAGTACTTCTGGCAGCACTGAAGAGCCACCAGGGGGCAGGGGCAGTGTAGGTCCTGGGCAGCCCCTTAGTCCTGTGTGTCCCTTCTCCCCCAGAGCCTATTTCTAAAGTCGCCTTTTCTGTCAGATAAACCTCAAAACTTTTAATTTTGAGATTTTTTTTTTTTTGCTTTTAAATAAGTGGATTGAAGAATATTTGAATTGACTTTATATTATGCATAAATATTTATATTTTATCTAAATAACTGCGCTGTAACAAACTTTGTGTTAGACATTTGGAACTGTTCCGAGTTGGGGGCTCATCTTTCTCCCCATGGCAGTTTTCCCCTGGCGTAAAATGTAGATTAATTTTCATCGTTGGAGGTGGGGTGGATGGGGGGTAAGGTCTCAGCTGTTCCTGCGTTGTGTTCCACTCCCAGCTCCCTCTCGAGGGACCAGGCATTCTGAAGGGGTTGGGGGTAGAGAGGGTGGGGACAGGGCTCCATCAGAGGGGCCATTTCTGACTTTTCTTTGCTCATCTTCACTGCCCCCTTGAGTTAGGTGGATTTTCTCTATTGGCAAGAGTACTTGGTAGGGAAGGCAGATTAAAAAGTAAAGCAGCCCAGCCCACCCCTTTGTTTCCCTCTCCCCATCAGTCTCCTAACAGCAAGCAACCACACCACCAACACCAAGTTTCCATGTTCCTTTGACAGCAAAAGGGACTGACTTTTTATATAACCAAATGTGGTGTTTTAGTGACTTTTTGATAATGTACAGTTTTTTGTGAATTTAAATTTATTTCTTTCTATATTTTTAGGACCAATCTCATTTTTAATAAGGTTAAAAAAAAAGAAAAAAAAAGTCTATAGAGAAAAAAGCCTCCTGTTTTTGCCATGTGATGTTCCACAAGTGCAGCTGTAGAAAAGTGCTTGTCAGGTGAATAAAACCACATTTGATAGAGATTCAAACGACTCTGTATTTCTGTACTCTTTAGCATAGTTCTCACACATACCTACTAAGAGGGGCCTGGGTATTGGGTTTAGCATAAGAAACATGTTTATAGGTGCTATGGTGGCACACACCTGTAATCCTAACACTTGGGAGGCTGAGGCAGGAAGATCTCCACAAGTGAGGCCAGCTGGGCTATGAAGGGAATTCAAGGCCACCCTAGACATAGATACATGGTGAGACTTTGGTTTTGTTGTTTTTTTTTTGAGACAAACAGGTTTACTCTAAACCTCCCAGTTTGCCCTTGTCTGAACATGAGTCAAGAAGCAGAGTTCCTGGCTCACACCTTGCTTGTGTGGATGGAATAGGTACAGTTCTGCCTTAAAAGTCTGGCTAAGGTGCTGGGTAGAGTGAGATTCCATGTGCTTAGTTCCAACCATGTAAGATGTGCTTTACGTTTTTGAACTGTCACCTGTATTCCTATAGTAGCAAATATGGGCCCATCAGCTTCTCTCTTCCACTTGTGGACGAGACACCAGGACACAGCCTTTTGTGTTTATTTTTTAAAAACTGACAAAATGAAACTACCAAATTACAGGGAAAATCATGGGAAGACCAGGGATCAGAAAAGGAAGAATAAACTAGAAGGGTAGCATTGGCACAGACACAGGAAGAATATAAAACTAAACATCTCTGGATAAAGAAAAAATGTACAAAATGTGTTTTTAAGTATAAATTAAACATTTCCTCCAAGGTGATAAGTGCATGCAACAGAGTACCCACCCGAAAGTGGCGTGTCGGTGGATTTGGGACAGCAGTAATGGAATAGAGACTTTAATTTACTCAGCCTGGAAAAGTCTTACTACCTCCAGGTTGGGATCTTTGTCTCCTGAACACTGTAAACTACCTGGACGTTAAGGTGGACAAGGAACATTGCTTCCAGCCCTGTAGACGTTGCAAACACCCTCTTTGGTACTTGGTTACCTTCTCAGCCATATGGCAGCCACTGACCAATTCTCCTCCTGGGGTGACTCCTACCATTCAGTTACCTGTGTGGTCACTGCCTGCCTTCTTGGCCTGCCGTCCTAGGATCCAGCTGTAAAGCTCCTGCTATTATAGGGTGCTTAGTGAGCTAGAATCTCAGGGAAGACACTCCAGAACCAGAACTATCCAAAGAGCTTTTGCATTTGTTCATGAGGCCTTTCTAGTCCCCATCTTCCTAACTCTCATGAAGATAAAGCCAATAAAGGTTAAGGCAGGCACTTATGCCCTTGTTGAGTTGTAAGATTGTGAGGTAGACAAGTAACAAGGACAAAGAAGCTTGTGGTTCTGCTTGGACAGTGAAGGCTTCCTCAAAACAAGTGGACAGGCCAGCAGAAAGCAATGGAAGTGGGGGTGTTGAGGGCATCAGCTTCTCACCCTTAAGGCATGTGAAACTCCACCGTCTGGAATGTCAGCCAAGATACCTGCTTTTTGCTGCTAAGGGAAATGAAGTGGAAAAGCTCACTGAACTTGAGTCTGCTAATGTTTGAAGAGGCTAAAAGGTGAGTTGCTCAGAAATGGAGTGGTTGGTTTAAAGGACATCATAAGGCACAAAATTTAGGTTCCACCTCTGCAGACTGGCTTTTTAACACCCACCCTCCTCCGATGCCCACTGAGCCAGGTCTAGCAGAGGCTGGGGCGAGTGTGGGCCTGACCACCCCCCCAAGTGCATTGCTCTTGGCTAAGAAGGCAAAACACCCTCAGGAGTGCAGTGCTGCCACTTTCCCAGAAGGGGCATGTGTGGCAGAGCAGCAATGGTTCCTTTTCTAAGATCAGAGCCGCCATGGGGATCCCCACCACACTGCAGCAGGGGCTCCCTCCACAGCACCAAGGGTGAGCCCTGGAGACACTAAGGGAGGAGTTGAGTGAGCTCACTGATCAGCAAGTTAGGAAAGAGAGAGGAAGAAATGGGGCCCCGCGGTGCCAACCAGAGACAGCCTGTGGAGCAGCCAAGTCTGGTCTCCTCAGCACACATAGTGTCCCCCTGCCACCCCTGTTATGACAAAGCCTACCATCTCTTCAGAGCCGCCAGACTTTCCAGGCTGAGCAGCTCCTCAAATTCTTTGGTTGAAAAGACTAAAAAAATCCCTTCCCATCATTGCTCCCAAATCTTGTCAACCTCCACCTGCACCCTCCTGCAGTCAGCCCAGTCAGTCCAGGTTTGAGGAGCAGCAATAACACTGGCACAAGATGAGACCTGCAGGCTGAGCCTGGTGAAGGACTCACCAGCTGAAGAAAGGGCTTTGCTATGTTCTATGGTATTTAACTGAAAACTAAAACATTTTCAGACTACTGTAAGTGTCAGCCGGGCTCAGTGGCACCCACCTGTAATACCTGCACTTTTGGAAACTGAGGCAGGAGGATCACAAGTTTGAGCCAATTTAGTGACTTAGCAAGACCTTGTCTCAAAAAGGGACTGAGGATGTACCAAAGGTTCAATCCCCAGTAACCCCCCACCCCCCAAAGTTACAGTATAAGCTTCTGTAATGATTCGGGGAGAGATGGGAAGTACAGAGTCCGAGCAGGGTTCAGGAAGTGTGAGACAGAGTGTTTAAAGAGCCCAGCCCGAGGCCATGCCATAGCTCCCCTGCCATCCTGCCCATCCCACCCTTCCACAGGAGAGGCAGCACCTCCCTCTTCCTCCTAATCACTACCTGCTATTAGAAATGAACTAACAGGGCCAGGGATGCAGCTCAGTGGCACTACGCTGCCTGGCAAGCGCAAGGTCCTGAGTTCCATCCCTGGTACCGGAAAAGAAAAATGAACTAACAACTAGAGGAAAAAACAGGAGTTTCTCCACCAAAAGCACCTAAAAGAAATTCCTGTGCCATTAACCACTACAAAAATAACTGCAGGTCACTGCCCATGTCTGAACCTGCCCAAGCCAGAACACTCATTAATAGAATCTAACAAGTAGAGTCACAATAAGACCCTCAGAAGGTAACTTTGAAATTTAAAACAAAACCAAAAAAACATTTAAACATTTTTAGATTACAAAAAGACAGAATCAGTGCTCGCTTTGGCAGCACATATACAAAAAGACAGAATCAAGAGTTCTGAGGGCCGGGGATTTAGCTCAGTGGTTCCTGCCGCCTGCCTCACAAGCTCAAGGTCCTGAGTTCAATCCCCAGTACCAAAAAAAAAAAAAAAAGTTCCAGGAGGCAGAGGAGGGGCAGCAGTGACATCAATGATTTCTGTGAGGAAAGGTGGCCCACACTAAACCTATCGGCAGAACCCACACACACACCTTAACAATCAAATGAACAAAATTCTGGGTTTGTTTTCTCTCTTAAGGCCACTGGTGGTGCACACCTGTGATCCCAACATTTGGAGGCTGAGGCAGGAGGATCACGTTAAATTTGAAGCCAGCCTGGGCTACATATAAGACCCTGTCACAAACAAAGGCCACTAGCAAGAAAGTAGCTATGGTATACTTCCCTTTACTGAGGTTTAGAAATTCCAAAACAAGCACTGTTTGTCCAGCCAAACCCTAGAAGGGTACTGGGAATGGGGCTTTTATGCTGGATAAGCTTTTCCTGAAGTTGGAAGCACCAATGGGAAAATGGGCGATTTTGTTCCTTTGAGTCTTATTCATTGCCCCAACTCCCTTATACCCCCAGGATGTACAGGGGACAAACAGGAAAGGGAGGATGGGGACTCTCACTTGTGGGGTGGGAGGAAAATCTGGGTGAGGCTCTTTGTGCAGCTGCTGAGCCCAGGGCTGCCTCCCTGGCTCTCCTCCTGCTTCTCCCCCACACCAGCCTCAACACCTGCTTCTCCCCCACCCCCACTTGCTTCGTCCGACTGGTGGTGTCTGGTGGAGGCGAACCTGGCCTCGAAGGGGAGTAGATATTTTGTGAGGAGGAGACAGGAGTAGGATTATCTCTGTCAGGTGGCCAAAGGCTTCCTCCTTCCTGTCTCCAGTGCACAGTTAGGTCTTGTGAGAGGACAGCTGTGAGCGAGACAGCTTCCAGACATCTCCGACCTTGTACACTATGAGATGGGACATACTGTGTTTTTCTATCCTAGCTCCCTGTTGTCCTTCACAAGAAAATTTCTTCCTCTCTCTCTCCCCCTCTCTCCTCTCTCTCTTAGTTTTCTTTGAGACAGGGGCTGGCCTTGAATTTACAATCATCTTGCCTCAGCCTCCCGAATGCTGGGATTATAGTAGTGCACCAACACACCCAGCTCAGGAAAATTATTTCTGAGGTCCTGGTTCCCCAGGGAAGGAGTCCAAACACACCAGGCACTCTGCACAGTTAGACAGCTCTGAGCTTTCCCACCCTGTGCAGCACACACAGAACAGTCCCCGTCTCAAGCGCTCTGAGAATGCATGTGGCTACTGGCCTTGCCAGGGCAGCTCTTGCTGTATACAAAGCTTTAAAGGTCAAACCCCGGGAAAATTCTAGGATCCCGGTTCCGCCCTCCCAACCAGTTGCACTGAATGTCAAAACACTGTGCGTCCAGGGTGGAGAAGGGAACTGATCCTACCCCAGAAAGTAGAGAAACACTATCAAAGCTTCTCTACCTTGGCACTATTGACAGTTTAGGGCTGAAAATTCTTTGTTTGGAGGGTGGCGATGTCCTGTGCCCTGTGGCATGCTTAGCTGTGTCCTTGGTCTCTAGGGAACAGATGCTGGTAGCACACACACTCCACCCCTAGGCATGGCAATCAGAAATGTTGACAGCTATTGACAACAGGCTCTGGGGAAGAAAAGCACCTCTGGCCAAGAACCACTGGAATGTGGGTGAAGCAGTCGATCTTCCAGTTGGGAAGGAGCCTGAGTGGACTCGGCAAGGCCACAGCTGCACAGGGCCTGTGCGGAGGACAGCAAACGCAGCGGAGAGAGAAGGGCCACAGGCCGGCAGAGGAGGAGAGCCTCCAGGAGGCGGGAAAGCAGGGACCCCAAGGCCGCAGCTTTCGCAGAGAGAAGTCAGTAAATCCGTCTGGAGCTTGTCAGGAAAGACCTAGTCTTCAACCAAATCTGGTTCAAAGGTGGCTTCCAAAGGCCGTGGGGTCATCTCTGAAATGAGCAGGTGACAGTTCTGCTTCCTGCAGCTGTAGTCTAGTCTTTTCTCTCAAGAAGTGTTAGAGCAGAGGGAAAAGCCACTTGTGCTGCCTGCTTAGTGTTCTACCTTGCCCCTTGCCCAGCACCACCCCCCAAATTCCATATGAAATTTCATTCAAAAAAATTCACAAAATTAAAAACTGTGAAAAGGCTAAGCAGGCAGGCTCAGCTGTATGGAAAAGAAAAAAAGAACAATCTTGAGAGAAAAAAAGACAAGAAACTTATGGAGATGGGGTGTGTGAACTAAGAGCTTTACAAAAAGAAAAATTTTTAAATCTGCTTATTTTCTGAAATATATACATACATATTTTAAAACTCCATAACTAGGGTGGGGATTTAGCTCAGTGGTTCCGCCGCCTGCCTCAAAAGCACAAGGTCCTGAGTTCAATCCCCGTACCAAAACAAAACAGAGTCAAACTCCATATCTAAATTCAGCAAGTAGGGATCCTTCATCAATGGTCTAGCACCACATCTTTCTCTTTCTCTTCTTTAAAGAAATAATAACAAAGTGCATTAGAAATCTTCCCAAATAACTTGGCCGCATCTCACAGAGAAGCTCCACACGGCTGGGGATATAGGTCAGCGGCAGAGCGCTTGCCGAGCAAGAGAGGGGTGGGGGGAGGCTCCCAGCCACCATTGTCTCTTTGAGGCAGAAGAAAAGTACATTGTAATTTAGAACAAAGAAAAAAAACTTTCCTTGCAAAAAGAAAACAAAATTTTTGATCTCCTTAAATGTACCACATACAAAAAATGGCCCTTTCCCCAGGCCCCATCAGCAGCGGTTTGGAAACAACACAGAGGAGGAGCACTGTCTTTTCCCAGGCCCAGGCCCATGAAAACAAGGGCCCAGTTCTCAGCAGGCTCTACAGATGGTCTGTAACCTGGTTAACCTGCCAAAGTCCGAAACTTCATGTCTACCCAGCAAGGACAGGGAGGAAATCCTTGAGGACATATAAATTAGGGAGAGTAGGGGGCTGATGAACACAAGAACCTCCTCGACTTCAGGCAGGGCTGAGCTGCTGGCTGCCAGCTCAGGACAGCCCACACCTGAGAGTGGTTCTTACCCGAGGTTACTTGCTGAACTGGAAAGAATAGACTCCATGGTCTGAGGGCGTCTCCACTGCCACTTGATTCTGCTGGCCGCTGTTCTCCTGTACCACAGCCAAGGAGGACAGTCAGCTTCTGCTTTCCCTTCCTTGCCTCCCACTAAGGCAGCCTTGCTAAAACTCATCCAAAGCTGAGGGGCCTCACCAGCCCCTCTTCCCCGAGTGTGTGTGAGCACATATACAGCACCCCACTACTGGAAAGATGCAAAGTGGTACAGCCACTCCGGAAAACACTTTAGCAGTCTCTCAAAGTTTTTGATTTTGGGTTTTGGTTTTTTAAGACAGGGTTTTGCTGTGTAGTTCACGCTAGCCTTGACTCACTATGCAGCCCAGGCTGGCCTCAAACTCGTAGTGATCCTCCTGCCTCAATCTCCGCAGTGCTGAGATGACAGGTGTGTGCCAACACACCCAGCAGCAGTCCCTCAGCATTTACAAGAGGGCACCTTGCCCTCTTCCTGAGGCATGCTCATCAGTGCAAGGCGGCAGTATTCACTGCTGGTAGCCAGATGTGCCAAGGGACTCATTCACAAGTGCAGATGAAGTCTTTTCTTCCTACATTCTTCATATACCTACAGGTATTTGTGAACCTGTGCATCACTGTGAGCAGAAGATATTGAACAGGGAAGATCTGCCTCTGTCACTGTCCTATCCTCATGCCAAAGAAATAATGCTCTTACCTCAACAGAAACACTGGAAGAAGGCACAGGCGTGTACTGGGAGATGTAAGCTCCCTGCATAGCTGCAGCTGTCGGCACATACTAGAATAAAAACATCAACAAGCTTAGAGTTGTGGCTCTGAGCTACCTGTAAAATACCTGGGGAGCTTTAAAAAATGCTAATGCCCATGGGCCAGGGATTTAGCTCAGTGGTTCTGGCACCTGCCTTGAAAGCTCAAGGTCCCGAGTTCAATCCCCGTTACCAAAAAAAAAAAAGCATTCTGAGAAGTTCCAGTGCCAGCCATGGTGGTGCACACCTGTAGTCCCAGCACTCAGGAGGCTGAGGTAGGAGGATAGCCTTGAGTTCAAAGCCACCCTGAAATACATATTGAGACTCTGTCTCATGGGGGAAAAAAAAAAGCATTCCAAAGTATAATGGCTTAAAAATGCTTCTATCTGGGCTAAGTGACTTATTTATTCTTTTTTTTTTGAGACAGGGTCTTGCTGGCCGGGGATTTAGCTCAATGGTTCTGCCAACTACCTCGAAAGCACAAGGACCCAAGTTCGATACCTGGTGCCAAAAAAAATAAAATAAAATAAAGAAACAGAAGGGAGACAGGGTCATGCTATGTTGTTCAGACAGGTCTTGAACTCACTATGTAGCCTAGGTTGGCCTCCAACTCACCACAATCCTTCTGCCTCAGTCTCTCAGTGCTGGGATTATGGGTGTGTACCACCATGCCTGGCTTTTCCTGCTCTTTCCCTGCTTGCCTTCTGCTTTTCCTCCACACCCTGCCTTCCCTGCCCTTAAGCATTCCTGCAAACTTGAACTGAGTAGCCCTGAAAGAAACCCAAAGTTTTCTTCCTGTTACTATTTTGATAAGGGAATGAGTATTAACTCTTAAATTAATACACAGAGTAATCATGTACTGCAAACATGTACTAATAAAAATTTTTAGGGGCCGGGGATTTAGCTCAGTGGTTCCGGCACCTGCCTTGAAAGTGCAAGGTCCTGAGTTCAAACCCTGGTACCAAAAAAAAAAAAAAATTTTTAAATACTTTTAAAAATTAATACACAGAAAAGCTATTCACTTAGGTTTGTGAATAGAAAGCAGCTCAGTGGGGTAGGCTGGGGAGCAGAATGGCTGTTTCTGGCTCATGGATTATCTTTTCAGTTTATCTCTAATTCTGACAGGCAGTGGCCACATGGGCATTCACAGCAGTTCTGCTGAGGAGTCCTGCACAGGGTGCCTTGCTCTGTGGGATTTCACAGTCAGAAATGCCTTGCTTTACCGTGCCCGTGCTGCTGAGCGAGAGGTGGCCCAGTTGCTGGGTCAGGGGTCCCATCACCGAGGCTGGCTGGAGAGAAATGGGGTGATCCATCCCCGGTGTCAGAACGGAACCCTTGAGGCAACAACAAAGGGAAGTGTTATTGGCGGCACCTGGAGGCTGCTAAAGCAGTGATCAATGGCGACTAGGAACACGGAAGACAGACATTTTAAAATCCTGGGAATTAAAATCCTTAGTGAGCCCAAGGTGGGTATTTACCACCACCTGCCTCGAAAGTGCAAGGTCCGCAGTTCAATCCCCAGTACCAAAAAAACCCCAAAACCAAAAACCTTAGTGAGCAGCAACCCAGCTCTGCAGCAGGAGTGGGTACACAGCCCTGCAGTCTGGAGGGACCCAGTCTAAGAGAAACAATCGCACAAAATTTGAAGACTCACCATCAGCCAGCACCTGGGCTGAGCCAGAACTCACACCCACACCTCCCACCCTCCCAGCCCTCTGCTCCCCCCCCCCAACCGCCCCTCACCTCTGCCTCTGCCCACATCTGAACACTCACTGAGGGAGGCATGAGGTACGACTGGTGGTGCATCCAAGACGGGTTAGGCACTTGCAGAGGAGATGCCTGAGTCACTCTCTGATGTGAGCAAAAACAAACAAAAATGTTAGGTGCCTAGAAATACTGTTCATCCCGGTGATCTAATCGTGGTCAGCAAGGCTCCCCAAAAGCTGGTGGAATTCTCCCTCACAGAATATAAAAACATTAAGAATAAATTCTTTAAAATATTAGTAAGTCTTTTTTTTTTCTTTTTTAGTACCGGGAATTGAACTCAGGGCCTTGTGCTTGCCAGGCACGTAACTCTTATAACTCAATAGATTACCCAGTTTTCTTTCTCTCTCTCTCTTTTTTTTTTTTTTTGGTACCAGGGACAGAACTCGGGTCCTTGTGCTCGTGAGGCAGGCGGTGGAGCCACTGAGCTAAATCCCCGTGCCCCTTACCCAGTTTTTAAAATGGGCAAAGAAGTGAAATAAATCAGATACACATGTTTAACTACCGTGTTGTTTCTCTGGTGTGAGAAACTGAAAGTGGAAATAAGGACTGAGATGTATAATGGATGTTGGGAAATGGGAAGAAAGTGTTCACATGGGAAGGGGAACAAGGGAGGAGGGTGGGGGAGGAAGGAAGGGACAAGAAAAAAGTGAAAATTGAAAAAATGGATACAAAGCTTCTGTATATAGGGAGGGGAGAGGGCTTGGGGGGAAAGGAATAAAATAAAATAACATTTATTTAAAAAGTTAAAAAAATTAAAAAGAAGAAAAAAATATAAAAATGGGCAAAGGCTGTGGAAAGGCATTTATATCAGAAGATATACAAAGGGCCAAAAGTACATGAAAGAGGCTCCAATGCAGACCAAAACCACAGTAGGACACAATATACACTCCCAGCACAGCTGTCATGAAAGAGCCAGGGCGACAAGCATTCCACAGACTGGTGGAAATGGCACAGGCACTTTGGAAACACTTAACCAGTTCCTCAAGAAGTTAAACACAGGGTTTAACTACCCCTAGTTATACACCCAGGTGAAATGAAAGCACATAACCACATAAAAACTTGTATGGGAACATTCACAGCAATATTATTTATAATAGGTCAAAAGGTGGCAACAGCCATAGAAAAGAATGAAGTACTGATATACACTACAATGTGAACGAACTGAAAACATGCTCAGTAAAAGGAGCCAAACACAAAAGAAGACATATTTTATGAGTTCATTTATATAAAGTATCCAAAATAGGCAAATCTATAGACACAGAAGTTGCCAGGGCACTTCAATTAAATGGGAAAAAGATGTATTATTTAATAATTTGATGCTAGAACAACTGATTAACATTCTGAAAGAATATATAACAGGACCCCTATCTTATGCTATATACAAAAAATAAATTCCTGATGATCCCACATATAAGTTTAAACAATAAAGCCGGGGATTTAGCTCAGTGGTGTCACCACCTGCCTCACAAGCACAAGGTCCTGAGTTCAATCCCCTGTACCAAAAAAAAAGTTAAACAATAAAAATCTTGAAATGCTTATGTACAAGAGACTGGGGCCCGCTAGCACTTTTAATTTTTATTTTTTATTTTTTTGGTACCGGGGATCAAACTAGGGTCCTTGCGCTTGCATAGCAGGCGGCGAAACCACTGAGCTAAATCCCCGGCCCCCACTAGCACTTTTAATTAGGAAGGCAATTCAAAAGATATAAAAGAAAAGAAAAAAGACACTTTTAACTATATACAAGTTTTAAGCTTTTGTATGGCAAAAGCTTATGACTCGCATAGTATATGGTCTGTGGACTACCAGCAGTAACAGCAGCATTACCTAGGAAGTTGTTAAAAAAGCAAAAACCCCAGGACCACAAAAAAAAAAAAGAAAAAGAAAAAAAGAAAGAAGAGGGGAGAGGAGAGGGAGAGAAAGGAGGAAGGGAGTAAGGAAAGAAAGCAAGCCAGCGGGCAAGCAAAGCAAAACACACTTGCCTCTCACCCTAGACTTACTGAATCAGAAGCCCTGGGTGCAGTGCCCAGCAACCTAGGTTGGTGGGGGGTTCCCCCGAGACTGAAGCCGGTTCAAACCTGGTACGCAAGTGCTGTACCACTGAGCTCTGTTCCCAGAACACAATGGAGGTGTTCACTTGTTTCGTTTCTGGTACCCAGGATGGAACTCAGGACCTTGGGCTTGTGAGCCAGGAGGGGCACCACTGAGCTAAATCTCTGGCCCCTCAGTGTGTTAATAAACTATCCAAGTGATCCTGATATGGAAGTCTTTAGGACCATAGAGTCAACAAAGAATAAATCCAGAAAAAAATAACCAGATAACCTTCAGAGGATTGATACTTATATGAAGAATTTGTATAAGTTGATGGGAAAAGGACAGATAATCAAGTAGGAAAATGAGCAAAAGACATGAACAGCAATCAGAGAAGAGTAATCAAACTATGACAAGCAAAAAATTCACCCACAGAGAAATGCACAGTGTGCTTTAATTCAACAAGACAGGGAAATTCTTTAAAAGCAAAGATACCATGGCTGGAGGGAAAGGGTACTCACACTGGTGGTGGAAATGTAAACTGACACAGCTTTTGTGGAAAGCAATCTGGCAATATCTGTAAACCTGAACATCCGTACACTAGCCAACCCAGCAACACCACTCCTGGGATTCCAGCTCCCAGAAATGAAAGTAAACCGAAATCTATGTCCATAGCCTCCACTGGGCTACAGCTGAAGAGCTCTGGCATGAAATACAATGCAACTGTTAAAACCAGAATTTCAGCTAAGGATCTCAACATTAGCTGCAGTAGAATCACTTGGAGGGCTTGTTAGACGCCTCATTCTCAGAGCTGCTAACTCAGTTGATCTATGGAAGAGCCAAAAAAAAAAAATTATGCTAAACCAGGTGTGGTGGTCCACAGCACTTAGTAATCCCAGCACTTAGGAGGCTGAGGCAGGAGGATCGCTGTGAGTTTGGGGCCAGTCTGGGCTACATAGTGAGACCCTGTCTCAAAAAAAAAAAGTTGTATCATAAAGTTCCCAGGTAATGACAATAGCTGCTGGTTCAAGGACCACACTTTCAGAATCACTAAGACACTGTTTTTTTGTTTGTTTGTTTGTTTGGTACCGGGGATCGAACTCAGGTCCTTGTGCTTGAGAGGCAGCCCCTGAAACCACTGAGCTAAATCCCCAGCCCTGACATTGTTAAATGAGAAGAATGTAGTATAAAAATATGTTTAATGTGGTCCAATTTTTTATAAAATAATTCCCCAAACCATATATATATATATTTTTTTTTCACATGAAGAAAATATAGAAAACACTATAAATTGTAAGTTATATAAGTTTACTTGTGGGGGTGGAAAAGTAGAGGATACCTATAAAACTGGATGTGTACACACACACATACACTATGTGTGTATACACAGTTTTTATATACATACACACATACAGATCACATTTTATGCTTCTATGTAAACATTATTTGTACGTAATATACAGAAAGGAAAAACCTTTTTTACGAAGTATTCTCTAGCATTATAACCCTTCAACTAAAACACATGGTAGGGAAACCACCATGCCCTTTTTTGAGTGTGAACATACCTGATAGGAAGACACTGGAGATGGTAGGTAAGGGGAGAGTGCAGACTGAGCAAGCATCCTGTTGGGGGTGATGTTATAAGGGGCCGGGTAAAATCTGCAGGAAGGAACCTTATTCAGTTAGGAGTCAGAGGAAATCACTGCTAACAGCAGTCGTTTTCTAGTAACTCGATTTAAAAATTGAGATGAAATATCCAAGTGCCTGGACATTGGCCTTGTCATTTTCAGGTGACCTGATCATATTAAACACCCTTACCCATTCTGAAGAGCTGAGGCAGGGTCATAGGTCAAGGCCATCCCACCCTGTAAGAAAGAACACAGTGTTCACATTGCAAGTGCTCAGATGAGAACAGAAGCAAGCCCAGAATGCCAAAACCGGGGATGTACTTAGTTCCACTGATTAAAGTCCAGCCAAATCCCAGGACAGCTGCTCCAGAGGTTTTCTGACTGCAGGCTGCAGAAGCTCATGCAAGCCATACCTGAAGAGAACACTAAGAAGTGGCCCATCTGTTTCACACTATTCCTGCAGCTTGCCCTGAGCTCACAGAAATCACCCCATGCTGATTTCCGCTCCACCTAATGTCCTCAGTACTCCTGTCCCTGTAGAGGTCCTCTTACCATGTCTCCACTCCTTGGCCAAGCCCGTCCATTTTGCACAAACTTCCCTTGATTCTGTCGTTTCTTTGGCCCACCATCAGCAAATTTGCAGAGCAAGGGATCAGATGGGGCTGGCAAAAGAGAAAGCAGATGGGCAGCTAAGTCCTGCCTGACCGAGCCCCTCAGTCTTTGCCGAGGGCACCTTGGCTCTCAGCCCAACCAGATGCCTCACCTGGCACTCCAGGGGGTGTCTTAATGAATTTCCCATTAAAGTGGGTGATGATCGCTTCACACTTCTCTGTGGACTCCATCCTAAGGAGCACAAGACAGGTCAGGCTCTGGCTTCTCCAGGATCTCTCCTCTGCGTACATTCAGAGAGAAGGCCCTACAAATGCCCCACAAATGTTCCCAGCCCCACAGATGCTCCAGAAGTTATGACTGCAGAAAAGGAGAGTTTCTGCCACACGCATTCATGGTACACTGAAGAGGCCATTCAACATCTAAGGAAAGTTCCCTCGATCAGCTCCCGTACGGAATCCCCAAAGAAATAACAGAGGTCTTCAAAATATTAATATTCCAAAGAAGACGCTGATGGTGGACATACTATTGTGTCTGGTACATAAATAAGGTAACAAGAAATAATAGTAGCTGCTTTTAAAATTTTTTTCAGTGCTGGGGACTGAACCCAGAGCCTCAAGCATGCTAAAAAAGTGCTCTCCCATGAGCTATATTCCCAGCCCCACTATTTATTGTAAAATTGCTAATGGAAATTGTGTCTTTACTCTAGTGAAATGGCTCAGCTAAGATTTGCCAATTTTATTTTTTTTGCTTGAGATTATAATTATCAAGGCCCAATTAGCTGATAACACTATTATGATTTCAGAAGTCTGTGGTAATAAAAAGCTTAGGATCTATGGTGATTGAAAAAGGAATGTGGAAAGTATTGAGTTAAATTTTTTGTTGGGGAAAGAGGAGTAAAGGATCATAAGACCTAGATTCCAGTGCTAGTCACCACCCAAAGGCTGTCAGTAGCACAATCGAAAGCCCTCTAGGCTTACTCCACCTTTGTTTTGTTTGTTGTTTGTTCTTGGGTTTTTTTGGTACTGGGACCTTGAGCTTTTGAGGCAGGCGGCTGAGCCACTGAGCTAAATCCCCAGCTGTTTTTGTTTTTTTGAGACAGGGTCTCACTATGAAGTTCAGGCTGGCCTCGAACTTGTGGCAATTTTCCTGCCTCAGCCTCCCAAGTGCTGGGATTACAGATGAGTGACACTACACCGGGCCCATTCTTCATTTATTGTGGAGACAACATCCATCAACACAATCACACAGTGTTGTATAAATCAAATGAGTAATGCATATAAATGTGTTCTAAAAATTATAAGAACCTGCACGCCTGCAATCCCAGCACTCAGGAGGCTGAGGCAGGAGGACTCCCCTGAGTTCGAGGCCAGCTGGGCTACATAGTGAGTTCAAGGCCAGCCTAGACTATATAAAGAGACCCTGTCTCAGGAAAAAAAAAAATTATAAGGGCCTAAAAAATTAAAAGGGCTTATCCAGGTTTAGAATAAGCAGAAATAACAACAAAAAATATACACAATACACTAGGTACTCATTAGCACTCTTAAGAAAAATATAGTGAGCTCATGCCTATAATCCCAGCAGTCTGGGAGGCTGAGGCAGGAGGATGACAAGTTCAAGGCCAGCCTAGACAATTTAGCAAGCATCTGTCTCATAGACAGATAGATGAGTAGATAGATAGATAAACTGACAAGGGACTGAGGATGTAGCTTAGTGGTGGAGGGCTTGCCAGTTCAATCCCCAGTACCAGAAGAAGAAAAAACAAAGCAATTATGAGGGCCTATATATTGTATAACATATTATCTTCTTTCAGATACTTCCATATTTAAATTAAGCTTTGGTATATACTGTATGTCAATAACATAGGAACCATTGCTCTTTAGGAGGTATTCCTCTCAAAGGCCTCAAATGGAACATTCATTTATTCATTCATTCATTCAGAGTCTCACTATGTAGTTCATGTTTACCTTGAACTTTAAGGGATCCTCCTACCTCAGCCTCCAGCCAAGTGTTGAGATTACAGGCATGCACCACCATGCCCAGCCTTCTCTCAATTTACTTTTTTGTTTTTTTGGTACCAGGGATCTAACTCAGGACCTCGTGCTTGCCAGGCAGGCACTGTGCTGGTAAGCTAAATATCCGGACCTTCAAATTACTTTTTTTTTGGTACCAGCAATCGAACTCGGGACCTTGCACTTTCGAGGCAGGAGCCAGAACCACTGAGCTAAAACCCCAGCCCTTCAATTTACTTTTTAACCATCCTAAAACTAAACAGCAGGTATTAAAGACTGAGTTACAAATACCCTTTGTAAGTCAGACAGTTTCCAATTATTTGCCTCCAATAAAGTTGAGGACTTTCACACACACACAAAAAATCAAATTTTGAGGCAAATGACTATAATCCCACCACTCCTGAGGCAGGAGGATCACCATGAGTTTGAGGCCAGCTTGTGATACACAGTGAATACAAGGCCAGCCTCAACTATGTAGAGAGACTCTGTCTCAAAAAGGACCCAAAACACCAAAACCTGTCCTGTTATACCAATAAATGACATACATTTATTTATTTATTTATGAGACAGAGTCTCACTGTGTAATCCAGGCTGGCCTTGAACTCACAGCCATCCTCCTGCCTCAGCCTCCTGAGTGCTGGGATTACAGGCATGTGCCACCACACCTGGCCTAAATGATATTTATTAATGGTTGCATGACTTAATTTAAAATATCTAAACAGAACGTAAGGATTGCCAATAAAATTTATTTTATATAAAATAATTTTGGGCCAGGAATTTAGCTCAGTGGGTCTGCCACCTGCCTCGCAAACGCAAGGTCCCAAGTTCAATCCTTTGTACCAAAAAAAAAATTTTGTGTGACTACTTTAATATATTTATGTTGTTTGGGGCAACTGAGAACTTATAATTGTAAAGATGATTCTCTTATGGTTCAATACACATAGCCTAATGGCCATAGGGGTAAAAATTTTAATTTATATACACATTCATTTGTTTGTTTTTTTTGTTTTTTGAGATGTCTCACTATGTAGTTCAGGGGGGACTTGAACTCACTAGGTAGCCCAGGCTGACCTTGAACTCAGGGCAATCCTGCTTCAGCCCACTGAGAGCTGGGATTACAGGTGTGCACCACCACACTCTGCATATACACATTTGTGTTGGAAAGAAAGACAACAAGATGATCCATAGAAAGATTTTCAGATATAAAAATATTTTACAGTAAAATATAATTCTGTAGGGAAGTGGAATGCAAACACAGATCAAAAATGTGAGAGGAATGCTGGAGGAACAATGAGGTGTATGGCTATTAAAAAAGAAGTGATCCATATCATTTGAAATGGACACTTTTGTGTATCAAATTATTATATTTAAAGCAGAACACTTTGGTGCATGCCTTTAATCCTAGCACTTTGGGAGCTGAGGCAGGAGGATGGCAAGTTTGAGCCCAATGTGGGCAGTTTAGTGAGAACCTGCCTCAAAATGAAAATATAATAAAAGGGCTGAGATGTGTGAAGGTGCTGAGTTCAAACCCTAATACGGGGTGGTGGTGGTAAGGATTAGGAATAAAAAAATGTGATGACCACTACTAACTGTGGTGGCACATACCTGTAATCCCAGCTACACAGGAAGCTCAATCAGGAGGATCACAAGTTCAAGGTCAGCCCAGCAACTCAGCAATACTCTGTCTCAAAATGAAAAAAAAATTTTTTTGAGACAGGGTTTTGCTATGTAGTTCAGGGTGCCTTGAACTCACTATGTAGCCCAGGATGGCCTTGACCTAACAGTGATCCTCCTGCCTCAGCCTCCCCCAGTGCTGGGATTACAAGTGTGCATTACCACACTTGGTTCAAAATGCAATTTAAAAGGGCAACAGCACAGCTCATTGAATGTGTGAGGCCTTGGATTCAATTCCCAGTACAAGAAAGGAAGGAAGGAAGGAAGAAAGGAAAGGAGAGAGAGAGAGAGAGAGAGAGAGAGAGAGAGAGAGAGAGAGAGAAGAAAGAAAGGAAGGAAGGAAAAAGAAAAAAAGTGATGACTACAGGCCTAGGAACTTCCCTTGGTTATACCTGGGATTGCCAGCAGGTGGTGCTACCCAGATTGAGCTCACTAGAGCAGAGGACCTAATCTTTAAACCCAAGGTCAAAACCACCCAGGCTAAGGGAGCGTTCATGAGCCAGATAAGACATTGTAAAACAAAGAGAGCTTCAGAGCACAATCCACTTGTTTTCAAGTTAAAAAAAAGAAAAAAAGTAACAGAATCTTCTGTCAAATAAAATCTTTTTTTCTTTTCCCACAGCTTTCTGCATGCTAAACAAGCACTCTATCACTGGACTACATCCCCAGTCCTTTTGATTTTTTTGAATTTTGAGACAAGCTCTCGCTAAATTGCTTAGGTTGGGCTTGAATTTGTTTCTTTTTTTTTTTTTTGGTACCGGGGATCAAACTTGGGTCCTCACCAAGTTCCTTGGTGAAACCACTGAGCTAAATCCCTGGCCCTGGGTTTGAATTTGTGATCCTCTTGTCTCAGCCTCACTAGTAGCTGGGTTTATGACAATGAGTAATGAATATTTACAGGTTAAACGAGATAAATGGATGAGAAATTTAGCTATAAAAATGCATAGAATTATTTTGTTCTGGTTGAGTCTGGATCAAGGACAAAGGCAAGTAGTGGTGAAAGGACAAAGATTTGGGGGCTGGGACTGGGGTATGCAGGATTTGCCCACCATGTACTAGGCTCCTGGTTTGATCCTCAGCACTGAAAAAATAAAAGTGCAATGATGACCTGAGCATGGTGGCATACGCCTGTAATCCTAGCACTTGGGAGGCTGAGGCAGGAAGATTGCCAATAAAATGTAAAATAGAATAAACTTTTTTTTTTTGTACCAGGGATCGAACTGGGGACCTTGTACTTGGGAAGCAGGCAGTGGTACCACTGAGCTACATCCCCTGCCCATAGAATAAACTTTTGATCTATTGTTCATTTTTGTTTTTGTGGTACTGGAGATTGATCCCAGGGCCTTTGCACTCAGTGATATTCTCAGGCCCTTCTGTTATTTTTTTATTTTGAGGGACAGTCTTGCAAAGTTGCTAGTTGCCCATGGTGGGCTCAAACTGGTAATTCTTCTGCCTCAGCGTCCCAGAGGGCCAGGATTATTTATAAGCATGTGCCACCCTACCAGGGGACACAGATGTGGGGGGACACATAAGTTTTGGTGGCTTCCTTAGTGACATTTTTTATTAACCTCAGCAGTTTCCACTCTTGCTATCCCTCACCTTGCAAAGCCAACTCCTCTGCTGGTCCCATTGGTGTCTCGAAGGATCCGAGTGGAGATAACCTGGCCAAAGGGCTTCAGCATCCCCTCCAGTTCTTGCTCATCCATGGACAGTGGGAGATTTGAGATGTATAAATTTGTGGGGTCCTGCTCTTGTTGCTATGAAAGTAAAAGTGAGAAACAAGGCTCATACCCCTTGTCCCCCTCCCACTCCTGGCCCTCATCTACAGAATGACATTTCAGAAGAGATGGTAGGAAGCGTCCCACGCACACAAAGAGAACTCTAACTTCTCTAACACCCAGGCCACGAGCATGGGTTGTACATTGAGTCTGTGAAGAAAGTAGAGCACATCTCCTATTTCTAATGCTGGGCAAGTCACCCATGGTGTCTGCATGTTTAAGAGCAGGCAGAACAGCACCCCTACCCCAGCAGCCCGTCCCAGGCCGCATTCTCAGGGACTGCTTGGAGGAGCCCCCCACACCCCATTCTGGCCACAGCATGACCTTCTGAATAGGAAGTTGTTGTTCCTGGAGGAAGGAAAGAAAGCAGGAAGTGGGAGGGGTCAGAAAGGGCTGGATGAGCAGCTCACTGGGTCACCACAAGTCTGGAAAGCCTAGTGTCCCTGGGAACCCCTAGGGCCCCTGAGCCTTCGGGCTCGGGTGAGAGGCTTCACTCCAGAAGGAAGAGGGGAGCGCCTCCCTCCAAGGGCAGAACCCCACTCTCATCCTGTGCTGCATGTGCAGAATTTAAGCAGCCACGCTGCCCTTAACAATAGTCACCAGCAAACTTAACCCCTCTCTGCCTTTCCTTTTAGGATTTCCTTTTTCTTTAAGAGAAAACGGTGGCTAGCAGACTTGCCTTATCAGCTCTCTAAATGATATTTGTGATGGCTTCAAAAAGGCAAGACCTAAGAGGAGTGCAGAAAAGCTTCTAGGTTTCGAGTAGTCTATACAGAATAAATACATAAATAGAAGCCCCAGGCAGACCTGAGGAGGAGGGCCAGTTTCCTTCCTTGCTGTGGTTTCCCCCACTCCGAAGCCCACTCTCTGCCGCCTACAGGGATCAGTGCTGGGAGGCAGAGAGCAGTGCTCCGAACCTCTGAGTTGCACAACTGGCTTCTTAGAGAATGTTGCAAAACTATCACAATCTCTCTGGTAGGGAAGGGGGGCCAGGGTGGAGCCATGGAGGCAGCGGCACTGCAAGAGGCCTTCTGACTCTCCTGCCTGCTGCAGTAACTGGAGAGGAGCACAGTGGGCAGACATAACCTGTCACCGACTCTGAAGACTGTCTCTCCAGCAGCCAGGCACGCTCAGGGGACGCCGGCCCAGGCTGAGTGTGGCCAGACATCAGGAAGCACTGCAGACAGCCTTGCCCGTCAGTGTCCTGAAGCCTCAGGACCGGGGCTCTGAAGCCGAGCACAACCTCTCAGAGGAACCGATGTGAGCCAGCGCCCTTACCTTTGCCATCTGTGCCTGCACACCACTGGCTTTCAGTGCTGTTACAGCCTTCTGTGCTGCTGAAGGGCTGTCGAAATCCACAAAGCCATAGCCTGGAACAGGGAAACAGCATCACAGGGAGGTGAGGAGTGTAGGGGAGGTAGGAGGCTCAGACTTTTAAGGAGGCAGAGGAAGAGTTAGGATCCATGTAAGGGAAGTAGCAGGAAGAAAGAGAAGTTAAGAGGTTTCAGGTGGTTATCCATGGGCTTCTCATACCCTGAGGCTGGATCAGCTTAGTGGCTAAAATGCCAAGGGCCTGGGGTCCTTGTGCTGTCCCTGCCTCGTACCCACCCCTTTGAAACCTGAGGCTTCAGAAACTGGATTTTCTAGTCATCCACAGCACTTCCCCCCTTCTAAATGAACTCCCTGCCCTCTTCTCTCGACACCTCCCAGAATGCCAGGCATGGAGGGAACCCAGCCTCTCCAGAGCTGACAACCTTCTCCGCCCTGACCTTCACCCCTCTCTCCTCCTCCCATCCTTCCAGCTGCACCCAGATCCGCTCAAAACTCCCAAACTATTCATTCTTAGAAAATAACACTTGCTGAGTCCTCCTGCCACCTTGCCAAAAGGCAATTACCTTGGTTTGAGAAACAGAAATGACCTCACCTACCCACCTCTACCACCCTATCCAGGGAAACAAAGTCCAAAGTGAGCTCAGAGGACTCAAGGGGGGACTCCAGGGAGCTCTGCAGCCTTCCGGCCTCAGGTCTCCGAATAGCATTTTCAGCTCCTGCTGTCTGGCCACCAGTGAATCTAAGTACCTACAAGTCCTTCAAGCCCCAAACCCCAGCACCCTCCCCAGCCTGGATTCTCAGGACGCTTAGCAGCAAAGGGCAGAGGCAAGGCCAGGCTCACTCCTGCCACTCCCTACTGCCCGGGGACAACTCTCCTCTCACCTTTGCATTTGTTTGTGGTCTTGTCCAGTATGGCCTTAGTGGAGACAATCTTGCCATATCTAAGGGAAAGGAAAGTGCAAAGCGATGATGGGTCAGGGAGCAAGAATAGGACAAAGACAAAGACATCTGGGAGAATCCATGCCTCCCTCTGTGCCCAGAAGAATAATTTTTGCTACTCAAATTCATAAAAACAGAAAGAAATGAATTAAAAATGTCACCCTGAGCCAAGCATGGTGGCACACACCTACAATCTCAGGACTCCTGGAGGCTGAGGGAGCAGGATTGCAAGTTCAAGTCCAGCCTTGGGAACTTAGTGACATCCTGTCTCAACGGCAGGGGGTGTGTGCGGCTGTGGAGATAGCTCAGTGCAAAGGCCCGAAGGCCCTGAGTTCAGTCTTCAGTACAAAAATAAAAGTCGCCCTGAATACAAACCTTTTATAAACCTATTCCCACAAGGGAAACTACAGAGTAAAGTACCCGTACTGCTTGTAACACCAACACACTCTTTTTCCACTAGGACTCAGGCACCCATTAGAAAGTTAGGGCTGTCTTCTTGGACAGAGCTGGGCACTGGCCACACAGTGAGTGTGTAAGGGCAGCACCCTGGCTGGCATTCTCTGAAGCTAAAAATAACCCTTGACATTACTTATCGTCTTTTGGAGGAACACCAGTCCTCCTCAAAATCTACGCATTTCTCTCTGTGCCGCCCCATTCCCATTCTCCTACTGACAACCCCCAATGGAAAGTCAATCTCAGCCAAACTCCTTTGGTTCAAATTCTAGTTCTGGCTGGGTGTGGTGGCACATGTCTGTTATCCCAGCATTTGGGAGGCTGAGACAGGAGGATTGCCTCGAGTTCCAGGCCAACCTGGGCTACCTAGTGAGTTCAAGGCCAGCCTGAACTACATAGTGAGATCTTGTCTCAAAAGCCAAAAAAAAAAAGGATTATTGAGACTATAAAATGAATTGATGAATACAAAGCATTAATGTTTACCATATGGTAACCACCTGAAAAATCCGACTATTATTACTATTAAAATATTCAAGGGTCCTTGACTTTAACCTACTGCAAATGGCTCTCTCTCCTGCCTTACCATATTTTTTTGTCTGATTGCTTGTTTTTTGAGACAGGGTCTCACTATGTAGTTAAGGCTGGCCTTGAACTCACTGTGTAGCCCAGGCTGACCTCAAACTTTGTGGTGATCCTCCTGCCTCAGCCGCCTGAGTGCTGGGATTTCAGGCATACACCACCACACCCAGCCTGCCTTATCATATTCTAAAACTTCTATTTTTCATTGTAAAATATGAATGTGTGCTGAGCTTGGTGGCGCATGCCTGTAATCCCAGCATTTGGGAAGCTGAGGTGGGAGAATTGCTGCAAACTCCAGGTCAGCCTGGGCTACACAGTGAGTTCAAGGACAGCCTAAAATACATAGCGAGATCCTGTTTCAAACACACATACACACACACACACACTCACACACATACACACACACAAAGATATGAATGTGTCTGGGGTGAGGGATGACACACCAGGTGGAACATCAGTATTAATTTTTTTTTTTAATTTGTTGTTGTTGGTTTTTGTATGTTTTCTGTTTTTTGTTTTTATTTTTTTTGTTTGTTTGTTTTGGTACCGGGGATCAAACTCGGGTCCTTGCACTTGCGAAGCAGGCAGCGAAACCACTGAGCTAAATCTCCAGCCCTGGAACATCAGTATTAAAAAGGCCATGGCATGGTGATACAAATCTATACTCCCAGCACTCTGGAAAGCTGAGGCAGGAGGATCATAAGTTCCAGCCCAGTCTGGGCAACTTTGAGACCCTGTCTCAAAATAAAAAATAAAAATGCTCTGGGGATGTAGTTCAGTGTGAAGGCCCTGGGGGTTCAATTCCCAACACCACAAAAATAATAAATAAATAAAACTGAAACTTTTTTTTTTTGGTACTGGAGATTGAACTCACAACCTTGTGCTTGTGAGGCAGGCGTCGGCACCACTGAGCTAAATCCCCAGCCCAAACTGAAACATTTTTTAAGGGCCAGGGTTATAGCTCAGCTGTACAGCACTTGCTTAGTATCATGCACAAGACCCTGGGTTCAGGTCCCAGAACTGCAAAAAAAGAAAATAAAAGAAAGAAAAAGACAAAAGGTAATCCCAAAGGTTACTGGTTTTATTAACCTGTAGGACATGAAACAGTTTTGTATCTAACCTAGCAATATTGTTCTAACATTCTTCCTTCAGTGTCCATAAACAGTCCCTAAACACTCCTTCAACCCATTCTTCCAATATGCATCTTGCTTCATTAATAAGTTACATGCACCTTTGATATATGTCCATTCTATATTCTATATTCGTATGGTTTTCAACTTCCTGAACATTCTGCTTTGGCAGCAGCCCGGTAAGCCCCCAGAAATGAGCAGAGGAGCACTGCAGGCGCTGGGCGGTATGAGGGGTGCTCCACAGAGAAAAGCCTCTCAGGAGGATGAGAATATTAAAGAGCAGAACAGAAATCACCAACCAAGTCAGAAGTACAAGAGTGAGTGAAAACAGTTGGCAGGGACTGAATTTGAGACCAATACCCCAAACAAGTATTTTGTTTTCCATCTGTCCTCTTATCCCTGAAGGCCATAAGATGATTGATTTATTTTTTTCACTCCTTGGTGGCCTCTCACTGACTTTTTTCGTGGAGCTTCTGTAGCCCCAAGGATTAGACAGAATAAGCCAAGCCATGCCCTGGAGGTTGGAAAAAATGCACATTAAGAGGGGGTAGGGATGGATGTGGTGATCCTACCCCTTCAGGGCTACATGCTTGGATTCTTTCCCAAATTTAGGCAAGAGGAGGGACTCTGAGAAGCCTGACTACAGGCCAGAGGACACACATGCTGCTATCCCTATCAAGGCCCCAGGGTGGAGTCTGCTGTGGTCTAGCAGCCTGAGACTGAGCTCAGAATTTCCACTGCAGCTGGCAACAGCTGGGTCACTGCTGCTTCCTCCTTGGAAGAAGAGGCCCCTTCAAGAGAACCCAGAGTTCCAGTCCCAGACCACGCCTCTCCTTCCGGCCCACCAGTTTAGGATCCAGCAACATTTACTTCCCTGACAACCCAGGAAAAGACCACAGAGACAAAGGCAGGAAGTCCTTCTGCAAAGGAGAAACACCCTTCTCAGAAAGGCTCCACCCCTCTGCCAGGCTCCACTGTCCAGCCTCACTCCTACTTCTCCACAGTCCCTGGTGGGCTCCCTTCTACCACCCACACGCTGACTCTGACTATTCCACCCCTTCAGATACTACTCAGAAGGGCCAGGTGAAAGTCTAAAAGAATACTGAAGTCAAATTGAGTTTCTTTGGGCTGGGGATTTAGCTCAGTGTCACCATGCCTTCCTTGAAAGCCCAAGGTCCTGAGTTTGTTCGATCCCTGGTACCAAAAAAACCACATTGAATTTCTTCTCTGTCTTGTTGTGTGATAGGACTGTTTTTTTTTTTTTAGAAAGGGTCTTACTATGTCCAGGCTGGCCTCAAACTCATATCAATCCTCCTGCCTCAGCCTCCCAAGTGCTGGGACTACAGGCATGCGCCACCATGCCCAGCATGGCAGGATTTCTGTAACACATTATGGTTAGTACAAGAACCAAAGTGCAGACAGCATGGACCTAGATGGATATGATACTCTTCCCCTGTGAACTAACACTTCTGTCTATTCCTGCCTCCCCACACAATGAAAGTCATTCACTTATACCCTCCCCTAGCAAGGGAAACTGGTGGGAAGTAGGGACCAGTTTTGTATTCAAAAGAAGATGGGGTCTGTGTGGCCAGTGCTAGCAGAAACTCATGTGATCTGCATGGACCAAATCACTACCGCAAAGAGTGAGGGATTTATAGAGCACCTCACAGGCATCACACAGCTACATTTTGGGAGCAAGATGTTCTGCTTCTCCTCTTCTGGGATTTGAAACAGCTAGAACTTACACAGTTGCCTTGGGAATTTGAATTAATCACTTCAGGTAATTATTTAGTAATATCCACAAAAAGGCTGGGCACATGTATATGTTGCCACCCAGCAATGATTTTGCTCCTAGGTATATACCCAGTATAACATATGTGTAAGTTCACTGCACACTATTTATATTCATTCATAAAAGTCACAAACTGGAAACAACTCAAATGTCCAGCAAAAGTAGAATGAGTAACTGTTATATTTCTGTGAAGGAAATTTATAAAGCAATTAAGAATAAAGTTTTGCTGCATGCAACAACATGGATCAATCTCAAAAACACCATTTAGCAAAGAAGCCATATTAAAAAAAAAAAAGAAAACAAAGAAGCCACATATAGAAGGGTATGTACAGCAGGGCACGGTGGTACATGCCTGTAATCCCAGTACTCACGGAGGCTGAGGCAGGAGGACAAGTTACTTTTCTCTTTGTTGAGAGAAAAAAACCAACACCCAAGGTTAAAGGAGGAAGGGTTTATTTAGCCTCATAGTTTATAGAGGTTTCAGTCCATAGACAGCTGGCTCCAAGACAGGGTGGCATGGCAGAGGGGCATCATAGAGGAGAAACAGTCCATGGCAAAGCAGGGCAGGCAGGAGGCAGCCAAGCATGTCAGCCAAGCATGACAGTAGCCCTCTTTCTGTCCCTTATATTCTATCCAGGCTACACAACCTCAGGGCAGGTAGCACTCACACCCAGGGTGGGCCTTCCCCTTATCCACACTCAGAACTTTGCCAAACTAATCAGCAGGTTTAGTAATCACATACCCTTAATCCCAGCATCACACTCTAGATCCAGCCACCTCTGAACATCCCCACCTATGACCACATGAGGCTTTGGGTGAGCAATTTAGTGAGACTTTGTCTCAGAATAAAAAAGGGCTGGGATGTAGCTTAGGCAAAGGGCCTGGGCTCAATCCTCAAAAGAAAAATAAAAGGTATATGCTTTCATGATTATATTTGCATGAAGTTCAAACAGGCCACTCCAATCTTGTTTAGAAGCCAAAGAGCTGACACTTTGCATGGGAGGCTGTTCCACGGCAGGCAGAGATCTGAAGAGCTGGTAATGTTGTATTTCTCGATCCAGTTATAAGCGTTTGCTCCAAGGCTCTGTTCCCTTTGTGAAAATCCACTGTACTACGTATACTTGTGTACACTTTTCTGTATTCTTATTATACTTCAAAAGACAGTTATAAAAGATGATAAAAATACCCAATTCTTTTTTTTTTTTTGGTACCAGGGATTGAACTTCAGGCCTTGGACTTTTGAGGCAGGTAGCGGCACCACTGAGCTAAATCGCCAGCCCAAAAGTACCCAATTCTTATTTCTCCCTCTTTCCACCATTCCCTTACCCACATTCATTTTTTTCCTTTTTCCCATTCATCTCCTTGTCCCACCCTCAGACTTCTCCAATCATTCTCCCAAACATATTGTTTGAAATGCATGCTTTTCTGCCAAATGAAACTGAGCTGGGCATCTCTGCATTCTGCCTTTTCCCAGCAATCCTAACTGGGCTCATCCTGTGATCACTCTCCACCTCAGGATTCAAAGGGTCTTCCTGGGTATGATGCCAGGTGACAGCCTCTTTCTCCATCTCCACCTTTTTTCTTTCGTTTTTTTTCTTTTTTTTGAGACAAGGTCTTGCTTATGTACCAAGGGTGGTCTTGAAATTGCATGATCCCCCTGCCTCAGCCTCCAGAGTGCTGGGATTACAGGCCTGCACCACCATGCCAGGCTCCACTGTCTTGCTTCACTAACATGAAGAGCTCTCTGATGACTGGGAGTTACTGCTAGGAATAGAAACTCTCCAAGTGCATCTCTCCAGCAGCTTCTTCCATTTCTTCTGTCCTTGCTGCCAGCTCTCACTGCCTCCTGGTCAGTACCTACAGCGACACTGAGCATTTCTAAGGACAGCAATCTTCCCACTAAAGCTATCAGTTCCCAGGACATGCTAAATTTTACAGAGTCAGAAACTAGGCTTCAAAGGCCAGCCCCATCCTGCCACTCATCAGAGAAATTCATAAAGGTTTTACATATTGGTGGCCAGAAGAATAATTTTTGTAAGAGAGGATGCTGGGACACCTTGCAACTATGGGGCAGAAGCACCACAGTATCATACTTCAGCATAAGATCGTCTGGCAAGAAGCCAGTGTCATGAGTCTGCACTGCCCAGAAGTCTATGCATGTTTACCGAGACTTACGGCTGACACAGCTTGACAAGGTCCTGGTCAGTTGTGCCTGGCTGCAGTCCACGGATGTACAGGTTGGTTTTGCTCAGCTGGTCGTTGCCATTGCCCCCACTGCTGCTGTTGGGGGTGCTGCTGCTTGGACTAGGTGGTGCCATCTGCTGTGCCAATGACACATATGGCTGCAGGGAGACACGAGGAACAGAGGTCAGAAGGACGGTACACTTAGATGTTGGAGACTGAGGGACAGCCTGGCTCCAGGCAAGAAAATGTTTCCAAATGCTAACAACAATGAACTCAATAGGAGGGTTAAAAAGTAGAAATTAAAAAATTAAAGGAATTCTGCCACAGAATAAAAAAAATATGTAACTGTTCAGCCAGGCATGGTGGCATGCACACCTGTAATCCCAGCACTCAGGAGGCTGAGGCAGGAGGATCGCCTTGAGTTGGAGGCCAGCCAGGACTACATAGTGAGACTCTGTTTCAAAAGACCAGGGCAACCATTTGGGACCCCTCCTGTCTCTCAGGAGCTATTCTTATTCCCCAACAATTTTCCTACTCTTAAAAGTATACATATATACATATATATATGTGTGTGTATATATATACATATATATGTACATATATACATATATATACACACATATTACATACACACATATATAC